AAAATCAGATCAAATCAGCACAGCCTTAATCCCAGTAGATGTAAAATTTGTATATACTATCCCAAACAACTTAGGGAAATTTTGAAAAACTAGGAGCGCAATAAGAATAACTAATTAAAACAATATACTCCGTATATCAATAGATCTGATCAATAAAAAAACCGTTGAAAGGATGTTATAGCCATGATTACAGAAGTAAGTGAGAGATATGGTGTTATACCATCTTCTCCATCATACGCACACACGAAGCAAATAATGTAAAAGCAGTAAACAAGTGACTAAATATGTTACCTTTACTCCGAGTGGCCCACGTCCGTGCAATAGTCCTTCACGAAATCTTAGAAGTAGATTACACAAATCAATTACAGCGTGCTGAGACACACTTCTCCAAATGATTATGACAAAATCTTAAAACTAAAACTTCTGACTCGAACTTTGTTCAAGTTTACTTCACGACTATCACACCTTCACCTAGATATCTTCAAAGACGTGTTAGTAGCCCTAGTTCTACTAGTTCTTGAAATATGTTTCTCAATATTTGGCCTCGTCGAATTGGAGACAAGTAGATGTGTCTCTCTTTTGTGCACATAATCGTCTAAGTGGAGAACGACATGACGAGTATATCTCCTTCTCGCTGTAGATGTATATGATCAGCAACTCTCATAAATCACACTAAGTATGGATATTAAATCTCAGATCATGTGTCTCGTTTTCTCATTTATCTCATCTCTCTTTACTTTGTGAGAGTATTGTGTACTAATAGGCACACCTTTTTGTATGAATCATAATCCTACTTGACCCGCAATGTTCGGAGAATATATACCATACCTGAGGCTATACGTAGAGCTAAGTATACCATGTAGATATTCATTTGTAATCAACAAAATATTCATTTTGAATCAACTGAATATAATGTTCATTTTCAACCGTAGTGTTTATTCAAAAACTTACTCCACATAGATTTCATTTTAAAACAACATAATGTTTATTTTGAAACATTTTCTTAATTACAGGTTTGTCATTATGTACTAAGAGGAATGTACATCCGGTTATACCATATAATTTGTCTCATGTTCGTCTACAATTACATTGTACGCTGGGAGAACTCTAAGAGCATCTCCAATAGTATTGCATATATTCACTTTTGGAGTTATATAGAGTGGTTACTCCAAGACCACTCCATTTCCAATTGCAAAATGAATTTTGCAGTATTTCAAACTCGAATATGGGTTGTAAATTGGGGTACTTCATTTTCTCTTCTTTCATATATTTATTACTCTGTAATTTTTTTAAATTTTTTTAACTATCTCTCTTTTTAGCAAACTTATATTTTATAATTTACTGCACTTTTTAATTTTCAAAATATAAAAAGTAGTAAGAAAAAAAATGTATTCTAAGAATATTATTTTGATTTTGGTGTAATAGGTTGTGATGAATTACTGTAAACTTGACATCTACAATATTTTGAGCTTGAGTTTGGTGCGCCGGGTGCATAGTGAAGAGATGGTAATGGGTACTACTTGAAAATAGGCCACTAAAAGTCTAAAAGAGTGGATATATAGCCTCTTGATTCCCACTTCTTGTAATGGGTAAAAAGTGCTAGTAAAAACTACAGAATGTCTTTGTAGTACGTATGTAGTATAACAACAATAATAAGGTCACCATCTTTTTTTATCAACGAAATTGCTCCAATATTTTAAATGAGTTTTAATTTGATTTTCTTTAGTGGCAATTTTATGATATACTCTATCCCTTCCAATTATTTTGTACTCCCTCAATAGCACAAAAGAACTTACGCTCACGAAAAAATCAACATACACGAAAGTACTTTGTCAAATTGTATAAGTGAAATTTGCACTAAATAAGACTAAAATATAAGGCATTTCTCAATGTAGGACTTAAAACTTTTTTATTCCGTAAATAAGACTTAATAATGTTTAGTGGGAGGAGTAACGTCCAGTAATGATAGACATTTAGTTGAATAATGACTAATTGATAATGACCAAAAGTCTTATATTGGGAAATAAAAACATATGATCCTATATTGATAAAGTCATTATGTTTTAGTCCTATTTAGGTAAATTTCTGATTGTATAATTGAAAATGATGCAAACCAGAAGAACGTTACTTTTTTAATACTATAGATTAATTTTATGAAGTTCAAATTAAAACGTTGTCCTAAGACAACTTTTTTAATTAACGCTAATTAAACTAAACATTGAAATTGTCGTGATTGATTATTTTTCACGCCAATTTATTAAATTTGTGGTACACCCTGGCCTTGTGATTTCTCATCCCATTTTCAACATTTTTGTCTTGTTATCTCATGATTTTGAATTGTACATAATACTACTACTACTTATTCTTTAAACAATGACCATAAAATCTACGGGTATTTCTGAACGTGAGCATTTAGTTTTATATCGTAGATCATGTTTGGTATTCTATAACAGTTCAAACACACAAATTTAGTTGTTACCATATATGTGGAAGGTGATGTCATTCTAGTATGTGAAGTGGATGACTTAAAGTCCATTACGTATATATAAGTCCCATATATATCCACTGTTTTAGCTAGTGCCACTCCCACTCCACTCAAACTCATCCAGTGAAACACGACTATCACTTGTTTGCCTGAGGCGTAGCTCAACTGGTCGAGAAGATAGTGTCACAAACGTTAATTCAAGATCAAATACTGACAGATCTGCAAAAAATGATGACAGTATTAAGCTTGAAGTTTCTACAAGTATATTACGAACAGATCTCACTCTCTCAACCAAACTGAAATTATACCCCAGCCCGTCATAACTTAATTTACATCTTTCTAACTAACTATTCAAACTGGTATTGAGAGGACCCTGAAGTTGGGGTAAAAAATTTTTTACTGCCACTTTCTTCATTTTGTGTATAAATTGCATCAACTAAGTCACTTAATCAATTGACTAATTTCACTCATATTCCACAAGTGATGGCACATTATTGTTCTTTAACCTTCCCTGCAACTATCATTAATATTATGTGCCTCATCTTGTTTCATGGCCTTGTTATTATGGCTCAAAGCCAACAACTTGATGACCAATTTTATGGCAAGTCATGCCCAGACTTGGACAACATTGTGAGCTCCGGCGTTTGGTCAGCCATCACAAGGGACCAAAGAATGGCTGCATCTCTTCTTCGTCTCCATTTCCATGATTGTTTCGTTAATGTAATTATATTTCTCTGTTATATATATGCACGTGAATATTAATTGTTTAAATAATCTTTCTCTTGTATTTATAGGTTCGGAAAAGGTTATCTACACTAACTAATAATTATTGTTCAAATCTCACGGCTACCCTGTTTTGGTGGTTCAGGGTTGTGATGCATCCATACTTTTGGACGAGACGAAAAAGTTTAAAGGAGAGAAAAACGCAACGCCAAATCGGAATTCAGTAAGAGGTTATGAGGTGATTGAGAGTATAAAAGCAGATGTTGAGAAGGCTTGTCCATCCAGTGTCTCATGCGCTGACATTCTTACCCTTGCAGCTGTCAATGCGGTTTCTATGGTACTCCAAAACTTCAATTAACTTTCTTGTACCTGACCAATGAGCGGTCAGAACTTGTTTTGAATAGAGAAATATTTTTAAGTAATTTGTGTAGTCAGGAGGACCCTTTTGGAGCGCACCACTAGGAAGACGAGATGGAGTAACAGCCAACGAAGCTGCAACCAAAAATTTGCCCTCACCGTTTGAGAGTCTCAAAGACATTACAAACAAGTTTTTGGCCCAGGGTCTTGATATCAAAGACATGGTTGTTCTTTCAGGTACTAAAAAAGTAGGACCTGCTCTCTTCAACAATAATCTTAGGGGTACACCGGAATGGGGTACTACCTTGGTACAACAAGCAAAAACCATACACACAGACACTTCATATATGTATATGCACAAACATTGAGTGTTTGTGTGTGTATCTGCTTTTGTTTGGTGTACAAGTGTACCCCTAGAATTGCCCTAAGTTCAGTTAGATCAGATTAGCTCGCATCAGACCAAATTAAATCAGACCTTAATAAAACCATATCAGATCCAATTATATCAGACAAAGAGAATAAACTCATATTCTTTTATTTTCTTCATTCACATTTAATTGACAATTATCATAACTGTTTGATTTAGGAGCGCACACAATCGGTTATGCACAATGTTCCACGTTCAAAACAAGGTTGTTCAACAACAGCGGCACAGGAAAACCGGATCCAACATTGGACACGACATTCTTGTCTAATTTGCAGACGGTCTGTCCCAATGTGAACACATCGAACACGAAGCTCATTCCTCTAGATGGTCAAACCACCTACAGTTTTGACAACTTGTATTACATTAATCTGGTGAAAAACACGGGCCTTCTCGGGTCAGACCAGGCTCTCATGGGAGACCCAAAAACTGCAACACTTGTCAAGCAATATAGTGACGATGCTTATGGTTTTTATAAAGACTTTCCAGGATCAATGATGAAGCTCGGAAGCATTGGGGTGCTCACTGGAAAACAGGGACAAATTAGGAAGAAATGTAACTTTGTGAATTAATTAATAATCCTTATAAGCAAAAATTATCCATGTCCAGAAAAAACATTATAGAGTGCCCAAGTGACTTCAAGTGTGTATTAAAGATTACAGTATCATCTGAATAAATCAAATCACAAACTTTATAATCTAGTCTTGTGGTTCTATCATTCGTTCCCTGAATAATATAAAGAAAGAAAAATGTGTACCTATTTTGTTTTATTTATTTTAGATTTATTTCTCGGATATTTTTAACTCATTTTCGACTATTTAGCTTGACCCAATTTTACTTTTATTTTTCTCTATCTAGTAGTCGTAGTTCAATAAATAATACTCCATGCGTTCGAAAATAAAGACAATACAAATACGGTGGGGTTCTAGTGACACCCGAAGTAAATAATAAATAATAAATATTTAAAAAAATCTCTATTTCCATTTTAATAATAAATATGAATTGGGGTTTCCGAAGGTAAAAAAACCCGTTGAGATCGAAATCGCAAAGCTACAAGAGATAAATCTCATCGCCGGAACTCCGATTGTTTCCTCCGGCAGCTGAATAACAATCCGATTAACAGCCATGACTGAGGTATGAACCTTTGATTTCTACATGAACCCATAGATCCAATCCCGATGCCGTATCATGGAGCGTATAGTTAATCCGATAATTGTGTAAGAATCTGACCTAGTTTTCGTTGATTTGCAGTACTGGGTTAGCCAGGGAAACAAGTGGTGCGATTTCTGCAAAATCTTCCTCTCCAACAATCCTTCCAGCGTCAGAAATCATGAGCTCGGCCAACGCCATAAGGATAATGTTGCACAGAGGCTTAATTCGCTGAGACAGGAGAAAACTGCTAAAGAGAAAGAACAGAAAGAGGCAGCTCGAGCTCTCGAACAAATAGAAGCTGTATGTTTCGTCTTCTTCTTCCCCATCCTCTTTGTTTTACTCTTCACATTGTTCTTTTCAAAGCTGTAAGCCCATAACATGTACTCATGTAGTAATTTTAAAAGTAAGGGGAAGTTTAATATGATGAATTCCATCGATTTTCCAGTCAATGTTTGGATTGTTGTGCTTGCATAGCAAGAAAAGTTGCATCCTTGTGAAAAGGTATCTTCGTGATGGATGAAGATATTTATGAATCATCAATTTGCAGATAAAAAAAATTAGTACTCTTATATTTTATCTTTTTACATGATTTGTTTCCAGAAAGCACAACGCAGTTATCAGAAGGATATCACTCAAGTCCAAGCAGGTGGTAAAGATCCTTCTGTTTCTCAAGGTGAGGAAAGCTTTCGACTTCGCATCCATATTTTTTCAAAAGGAATTTTAGTAGTTCAGGACCAAAAAGATATGTTAGGTATAGATGAAGGATTTAGAATCTAACAACTGTCATTCTTAAAACTTGAATGAATGATTGAAACTTGAAACTACCAATGCAACAACAAAAAACCTAGTGAAATCCCGCAGCGGAAGGTAGGGTCCAGGGAAGGTTTGTACGCAGACTTTACCGGCTTACCCTTTCTCAAAAGTAGATAGATTGTTTCCAAGACACCTCTGACCCAACGCAACATCATAGGCAAATTAAACATAGTGGACTAAACAAAGTAAGAGCAGAGAGATAAGTATACACACTCACACTGGGAACGACGGTACTCTAAGGGCCAAAGGTCTACCTAAGTACTCTAATCTTAGATCTGACGTTCCTATCAAAAATATTTAAACCACCAACATTGATGAAGAATAAAGAAAGTTGAAATTCATGATTGTTTTTTTTCAAGCCTTGTATTGAATGTTTAAACTTTACTTTAAATCATTCAGTCTCTAAAAGTGATATGGAGTAGCTTTCATCTGTCCAAACATCATAGATAAAATGTATTTTGGGTCTTGAGTTTATTAAAAGTCCCAATGAAGAAACAATTTTTTTACCTTTCACTGCTCCTTGTAGACTTCTGCCTAAGGTTGAATTCCTGTTTATAAGTACAGATTGGGGGCAGGATGACAGCACATCAGGCTACTATTACAATGGGAACGATGGTTGTTACTATGATCCAAAATCTGGATTTTACTACAGTGATGCTTTAGGTCGGTGGGGGTCACGGGAAGAGGCAATAGCAGCAACTCAAGTCACAACGACACAGCCTGTCCCAAAGAAGCCTATTTTGAAGAACAACCTTGTAGTCTCAGAAGCAACAACAAAGTCTGAGTCCTCATCAGGGGACAAAATCACTCTTCAAAGTGGGCCCCCACCGGGGCGTGTTGTTTCAACTCCGCTTAATCCTACCAGATCCGTGAAAGGCGCTGCTCCTTCTTCGCTAATGGTGGATAACAAACGGAAAAGGGAATCAGCCCAAAAGAAGCCATCAAAAGCTATGTCAGAGGCAGAATCAGCCGCTCTGAAAGCAAGGGAAGCTGCCAGGAAGCGCGTTGAAGAAAGAGAGAAGTCTTTGCTTGGCCTTTATAAGCATTAATCATTCTTTTTCTTTCTTTTGACTCCTCGTTCCTTCACACTTTGGGGGGGGGNGATGTTGCTAAGCAATATATCCCTATACCAATTTGTAACTTGCCAGGGAGATTTTGGCTTTCCATGTTGCCATTGATGAGACATTGAATTTGTTCTCATTTTGCCTACCAAGATCCTATTAACTCGTGTGTGTACTGGGGTTGTTTAGTTTCATTGTTTCAAGTCATACCGCTTTGGACTCTATCAAATCAAGGAGACATGTGACCTACAAAAATAAATGAATGAATAAAGGCCAGAGAATACTAAGGGCCATATTTCAGTACATGGAGAGAAAACGAGAGAATCCAACAAGCTTCTTCCTCCCCTTTCCCCTCTAACCCTCTCCCCAATATAATATCATCTACAAATAACCGAATAAAATGCAACAAGACACTTTCCCTTGGATACAATTCAGTGATTTATCACCTACTATTGTTTGCAGATATTGTGAATTTGCTTTAAACAAATTAAATTTGGCATTATAAACAATTAAAAAAAATGAAATATAACTAAAACCGGAACTGTTGATTTTGATTACTAAAACAGCAGAACGGAACTAAAACCCTTCTCCTGAACCAGTTTTTAAAACTCTCCTTAATCTGGTTTTGGTTTTTAATCCTTAGCTTTCAGTTCTAGTTCTAAGCCAGAATCCAGAGACACCATCCCACGCGTGCAATGCCACATGGCCTTACCGCAATCAATTCTAAAATGACCAACCCATTTGAGACCCGGTCCAATAAGGGGAACCCATTGCGCGTGGACCAATCATGCAATGCCACGTGGACCTACCCCATCAGCACGACCACGAATCGTGGACACCTACGCTTTTAGAGTGTGGGATATGCCCATGCCCGAATCGACCAATGGCTCGACCAGAACCGGTCATCTAGACCCTATATATTCTCACCTTGCAGAGATAGTGAAGTCACCAAACATTATGATAAACTTCAGGTTCCAAATGTGCACAGATTGCATGTATCCATGAACTAGCTAATGGATGAATTCAATCCAGCTACAAAATTCTCACACAACTGATTTTTATTATCAGTCTCAAATTTAAAATAGCACAAATACATAAGAAAAAAAGGGGCCCATTTTAGTTTTCTGAGGTATAACTCAAACAGTACAGCCGCGCGGGAATGCCACGTCAGCTCACAGGTTGCTGCTGGTGATTGCCATAGCTAGCAGCAGCAGCAGCATACATGCCTTGATCCCTATTCTGTGACATATAATATCCATATCTGCCGGGGCTCTGCCTTCCATTATAAGCTCCATTCCAATGGCCATTGTTCTCACTTCTCCCTTGCTAAAAAGATGGGGTCAAATACGATAGGGAAGCGTAAGTATATGTAAGTATATTTCGATACTTCCAATCTAATGATCATAGAGAGCACAATAAAACACAAAATGCATTTTCGTACAGACTCGGAAGGTGAGATTGGCACTCAACCATGGATCCGATGAGATTATCTTTAAAAAGTCCGGGTCCAACCTCAAAAGCTAGTTCTTAAGGTTAATCTACTGCACCATATGTGCTCAATGCCAAAACTCCCACCCAAATGGGTGGGGAGGGGGGGGGGAGTATGAAAAAGCAATGGTGGAGCCCGGGGGCAAAGGAGGCGGTGGACCCACACATCCTAACCCCTACCCACTACGGCCTCTACGTCTCTCCTACCTCATACTTTGTTAGTGTTGTTATTGTGAAGTTACTAAGAGACTACTTATATGCATCATTTTGAGCAATATTCAAATACACAAATTCTAAGCTTTAAGCACTCCCTCCGTCCCAATTTAAGTTGCTTGTTTACTATTTACTGGGTGAAACATTAACCACGTTCTTGACCCATTTTCGCCGCCCATTTGAAAGAATAATATAGTTTTGTCACCTCTTGTTTTATAGAAATTTTGGTGTGCTTTTTAAAAATATAAATTTATTTTTTAATTCCTTACCGATTTTCAAATAAATTTAAGTGAAAATAACTTCCGTCAAACCTCTAGACAACAAGCGACTCTTTTTGGGACATAGGGAGTATTTGTCATGTAGAACTGTATACTCACTCCGTTTCAATAAACCATTCCTATTTTGACTATTAGCTAGAATAAGGAATGTATATTTATGGTTGACTTTTCATTTTACCCTTGATGTGATGGGAAAAAGTGGTTTTTTGATAGAAAGTGGAAGTGTTTTGGGGAAAGAAAAAAATGAAAGTGGAAGTGATCCTGTTTTTTCCAAGTCTATATCTTGTGTGCTTTTGCTGGATCATCAGTGATTATGAGCTGTGTTTTATCTCTCCATTTCTGATTAGGTTTTAACTGTTATGTTAGGAGATGAATTCAATTACTGTTGCTCTACACAATATGGGATTTAACATATTCAAATCAGTCAGTATCTCTAGAAATACCTGCTTGTTTAATGGAGTGCGACCCCATGAAAGACGAACCGTCTGCTTCCCGATAAATGAACCATTTAATTTCTCCAATGCATCCTCGGCCGCGCTCCTGCAGAGTTTCAAAATAAGGATGTGTATTCATTGTTTTTCAACACAAAGCATTTGCAAGTACAGTTAAAACGGCTCTGATCAAAGTGGGTTGTTACCTAATAGCAAATTGTACAAAACCACACCCTTTTCCAGTTGGTATTTTAACGGATACCACATCGCCAAACTGAGTGAAGGACTGCCTTAGTTCTTCATCAGTGACATCAGAATCAAGTCCGCCCACAAATATCTAGAAATGGTGAGCCAAATGTTAGAAGAAGATTAAATAACCTGTTAAACAACTCCTCAGGTCTGGCGAGGCTCTCACCGTTGTGTTGGAAGAATCACTGTCAAACTGGGAGCCATGGGTTTGAGCTCCATTTGAAGCAAACCCGCCACCTACACAAACATTTTGTTGAAAATGAGTTGTCAAAACGGGAAATTATATGCAAGAATTGGTATACACAAGAGAAAAAGGGATCTTAGTATTAAGGCAAGTGAAGTGCTGAGGATGGTACATATAAGTATATAAGGTTAAGGCTTCACATTTTCGGAATCTTTTTTAGGGCAAGTTAGGTCCAATTTATCAAAAAAAAAAACCCAAGAAACCAGATTCAAAATGTAGTAATTAACAACAGGCAAGACAGTATGAGAGTGTGAACTAACCTTGGGAAGAATGCTGGTGTTGCATTGAAGGCTTCTTAGGAGTTGCAACGCCTAACCGCATGGGCCTGCTTGAACAGTACTCACCATTCATTTCAGTCATGGCACGTGACCTTTCATTTTCATCCCCAAATCTTACAAAACCGTATCCTTTTGAGCGCCCTGTGTTTGAATCAACAACTACCTTTGCACTTTTAACGGAAGAATATCTGGTGGCAAAGATTTCGTGCAGTAGTGTGTCAGTGACATCAGCGGCCAGATCTCCAACAAAAATGGATAGGTCGGAACTAGGTTCTGGCGGTGTTCTCTTATCACCAGTGCTAAACGAAGCCCAATTTAAGCGAAATGGTTGTTCCGCGTTTGGCATCATTGTGCCACTATAGTTCTGCAAGACTTTCTCAGCAGCCGCATGGGCACTGAACTCAACAAAGCCATATCTCTCTGACTGACCGGTCAGCTTATTGCGAATAATCTTTACTGAAAGTACCTGCAAAATGAAAATATATTCTTTTAGTATGGTTTGACTCGCATGAAAACCTTAGCACTAACCAAACGTTTGCCACAGATTTAAATTATCGCATTTCCTCTATTTGAATAACCAATCAAATTCTTTGAATAAAAGAAAGGAATTCACAACACCCCAAGAAATAAAAAAATCAAAACTTTCCCAACTATCAAATCAATGGAGTATGTTTCTCATTAGAAAATCAATAAATTTTATTATTAACAAGATTTAATTGCAAAAAACAAAATTTGGTTCGGTTTGGTGTCACCAAGATTTAACAAGATCATGACACCAAGCCATTTGGGGGTCTTGTGGTGCCTCTATTGGGACCGGGACCAGGATGGGTTCAACGAAGCAAGGTTGGCTCTGGTGTCATATTATGTCACCGAAATCCGGTGTCATAAGAACTGCCATGAACAAAATTAAAGTCCTGGGTAAACAAGAAGATTGGATCTAACTCAAGTACTAACACTTAAAAACTACAATGGATGAGATGATATTAGTCTCACATTTATTATTAAAGAGTTCATTCATTCATTCATATCTATTAGAGTAACATTTTTTTCTTGATTGTTTAACATAATGAACATAATGCTTTGAACTTCTCCCCAACCAGATCTAATCTTGAACCACATGCTCTGAGCTTAAGAGTCTAGGAAAACAAAGTTTAGATCTTTAGCTGAATTTACAACTGCTTCCACTGAAAAAAACAAAGGACCAATTTGAATACTGGGAAAATTTTTTAATCATTCATTGCAGGACTGAAACTAAGATCTTATAATTAGTAAACTAGCTGAAATATTTCTGGGTATCTATTCAAAATCTCAATCAAGTTCCAATTCAGCGGAATAAGTATATCCAGATCCAATTAAGAGTACCTCTCCCGCGGGAGCGAAGCAAGAATGGAGATACCCTTCGTCCATCCACTGCTGGAGATCTCCAATCCAGATCGTCCGGTTATCCTCGCCGCCGGAGCACTGATTCTGAGGCGGCCGCGGCGGAGATAGCTTTTGCTGCTGGAACTGCTGCGGCGGCGGCGGCTGCTGGGGGTGGTTCTGCGGGTAATAAGGCAGGTAGTGCTGGCCGTACATGACCATGGGCGCCGGCGGGTACTGCATCGCCATCCACTGCTGCTGGTACTGTTGCATCGCCATCCATTGCTGGTGCTGCTGAATCTGCTGCTGCTGATTCATGTCTCCCCCGCTGCTCATTTCTCGATTATTATATCCCAATTTAGCCCGACGAGGAGGCGGGAGGAAACAGAGCAGAAACAGAGCAGTGATACGAAGAACAGAGGCGAAAGAGAAAGAAAGAAAGAAGGGATGAGGAAGTACAGAGCTTAAAGAAGAAGGGCAGAGGGGAGACGGGATCTAGGGTATCTGTCCTTTGTCAAGACGTCGTCTCTTGGCCGTCGATTGATCAGCAGGGGTTTGATCGCCGCCGTCGATTCGGCCTCCGTGGGACCGGGATATTGCGTGGGGGCCACAGACATCCTCCCTGGATTTTTCTAAACTTCAATATATTTAGAGAAAATGTTTAAAAATAAAAAAGATGATTAGAATTTGTCTAAAAAAGAGAAAAAAATTATTAGTGACCATATACTCCGTATTTATTATTAAGATAGGAAATAAAACTAATACTCCCTCTGTTCTCAATTTGATTACAAATTGGGGTTTACGAGAAAAAATATCTCACATTTTGAAATTATTTTATTTATAAATCGGTATATCGATAATAAATAAAAATAACGAATTACATATTAAAAAATTACGGAAAAAGTTCTACAAAACAAGAGGTGACACGAATATTTTATTTTATCAAATACTTAATGAAATCGCGTAAACAAATAAAAGTTATCGAGAAGAGAGAAAAAAATGTAATTAAATTGGAGACGGAGAGTATAAGTTTCTTAAGATTTTGAAAAATGATGTACTCTCTTAAATCTAGAATTATCTTTCTGTTTGTTTTTTTACGGTTTCCAATATGTAATTTTCACCATATATATCTCAATTTATATATAATTTTATTTTATAAAAAAATAATTTTTTTAATATTTTATTTTAAAATAAATCTATTGATATTAAATATTATAAGGAGTATATTTTTTTGATAATTCTAAAACAGATGTATTAATAAACTTTTTAGGAGAGGGGATATTTAAAAAGATGCAATTATTGGGAGTGTGTGGGGCTTGAAAGAGGAGATTGGGATGGACAATGGAGAGTGGAGGTGTAGATTTGTTTGTGTGGGGGTGATGTGCAGAGGATCCTAACACGCCAACATGTTTCCCGGAATATCCAGGCTGGTCTGGTCTTTGCATTATTGGGGGTTGGTCAACGTTGGATGGCTTTCTTACGCCGCGTTTGGCTCTCTTTTTTAGGCAAAGAAGCAAAATTCCTTCTTTACATGCAAGTTGGATAAAACGGCAACAACAAAAACTTTGTTTGGAAATAATTACTCCGTATTTTATTAGCATATTTTAGATTAAAATTTTATTCGTTTATAATTTTTAGTTAAGGACGGCCAATATGACAACATTTAAAACCAGTAATATTGTCCATTGGAGGAGAACCAAAGGAATTGATGGCTATAATTAGGTTAATACCGACATACATACATACCATGAAATAAAACCATAAAAATACTTTGCACTTCTAATAAATAAAAACAATAAGAATAATATTACTCGTATATATTCATTGAACTAACATAAACAATTTCTGTTTCAAATTTGAAAGGAGAATAAAAGAAGAAGAAGAGAAATATATAATGGGAAAATATTACAATGGCCTATAAGCACTCTTCGTCGTCTTCCTCGTTCTCGTCATCTTCTTCGCGTTCATCATCTAATCTGGCATGCTTCGCGTTCCTCTTCTTTGCGGCTTTTTTCGTCTTTAAGGTTATTTTCTTGTTTCGCCAATTATACCATTCTAGGTAGATATTGCATTTCTTGACCTTTAATTTCTTTTCAAATATAGCGTAAATGTAATGCGTTATTATGAATAAAAAGAAAAGAATAAATCGAGCTATGAACTTAAACTCGTACGGGATTGATCTTCCCTTATACGTACACGAACAACCACAACACATACTTTTGTATAATTGTCTTTCGCCGGCGTTACTAAAACCAAAATTGAAAAACCAACCCATTTTACATATCGCTTCTTTGTCATTTAAGCTACGTCGAGACGTTGCAAGATATTTTCTGGGTGTTTGAAACTTGGATTATCATCATCATCAGGTGGATATTCTGATTCTGCAAAAATTATCAAGAGCTCGACACAACAGGGAAAAGATAAACCATATAGCCATTCATGAACCAAAATCACCTGATTCACCATTCAAGTACGTACGTTATTATTCCTTCTTTAATTACTTTCTTACCTTTAATGCACCTTTCATTTAATTGAAGTTTCTTGCAAAATATGTTTAGTTGAAGTTTCTTACAAAATATTTTCCACAAAAAAAAGTTTCTTATAAAAAAATTGGTGTAGGATTGGAAATGGGACATTCCAGAGGGAGTTTATGCTGTCTTGGGGAGACGAGCGGTGCAAGTTACACGACAATGGAGAACTGCTCACCCTCCAGCTCGAAAGATCTTCTGGCGCTGGCTTTGAATCCAAGAAGGAATTCATCTTCTGCAAGATTGAGATGCAGATCAAGCTCGTCCCCGGCGACTCTGCCGGCACCGTCACCACCTACTACGTAAGCCAGCACCCCGTCCCCTCTTCTCTCGAAATTGAATGCATCTGGACGTGCGTCACGTCTACGTTCGTTCAGTTTTTTTTCTTCTCTCTCAAAATTGAATGCATCTCGACATGCATCGCATCTCTGTTCATTCAGTTTTTCTTTCTTTTTTCTCGATATTGAATGCATCTGGACATACGTGACGTCTACATTCATTCAATTTTTTTCTTTCTATTGAAATTGAATGCATCCTGACGTACGTCACGTATAAATTCATTCAGTTTTTTTCCTTTTTAAATGCATCGAGAAAGTCATTTCTCGCGTCGGGATTGATATTCGGACATGAAATGTAAAATGCAGTTGTCGTCGGAAGGCGATCACCACGACGAGATAGACTTTGAGTTTCTGGGGAACTCATCTGGCAACCCATACACTCTTCACACAAATGTGTTCAGTCAAGGGAGAGGCGAAAGAGAGATGCAATTCTTCTTGTGGTTTGATCCCACCACAGATTTCCACACCTACACAATCCTTTGGAATCCCAAAGCCATCCTGTGAGCATATATATAACCATATAACCCGAAAAACTTTAATCATCAATTAAATATATTTCAAAAACTAGTTTTCGCTCATTGAAATTTGGGTCGTTATTTCAGGTTTTATGTGGACGGTACGCCGATAAGAGAGTTCAGAAACGCAGAGAGAATCGGTGTTCCATTCCCAAAGGATCAGCCAATGAGGATGTACTCAAGCATATGGAACGCCGATGCGTGGGCCACACAAGGCGGCCGCGTGAAGACGAATTGGACACTCGCGCCCTTCGTCGCCTCCTACAGGAACTTCAGTTCCCAAGGATGTGTTTGGTCGCGGCCGAGCAAATCCACATCTTGCAATTTGCGCGAACCGAACAAGGAACCGTGGTTCACAACAGAGCTCGACCGGTGGAGCCGTGCCAGAATGAGGACCATGCAGAGGCGGCATATGGTTTACAATTACTGCGACGACAAATGGAGGTTTGGTCGCAGGGGCCCTGGCAGAGAATGCAGGTTTAGGTAGTAGTAGTAGTAGTAGCAGGAGTAATAGTAGGGCAAGCCAATGAAAGAGGAGATCCAAAGCATTATAAGAATATCAGTACAAGATGATTTTATATTGCGTAAACAAAGTACAGATATAAAATTATTCCTTAAATAAAAATCCACAAAAGAAAAGAACTAAATTACATTATATTAATTCCCCAAAAACAAGAGGTTAACAGAGGTACCCTTAACGGCGTTAAGGGGAATCAGCAAAATTGAAGGAGTTGGTAATGGAGGAATACATAAGAAGGCAACATGCTGTTAATTAACTACATTATGAATTAGGACAAACACTTCCCTCTTCCCTGTTAGCTTCTGCTAACAAAAATAAAGAATATGTTAAGGTGGAACAAGAAATGTACAATTAGACCTCGTAATCCGGTTGCAGGAAGGTCTCGTAAGGAGTGCCCTTGAGCGTCTTCTCAACTTCTCCCCAGTTCTCTACCTGAGACGATAAAGCCCCCTTGTGTATCTTTACTTGACGGCTTCTTAATTCTTGATGAGGAACCCTTAGAAAATCTTGAACATCCATCAGTTTCTGTGGGAATGGGAATGGAAATGGAATGGAGGATTTGGGGGGTAATGGTGTCAATTCACTACATTCATACTTGTAAAACATAAGATGACCAGAGAGAGACAAACTTTTCTTACAGTTTTGTTTTTTATGATGTCCTCATAGTAAAGAATGACATGCCTAGTGCTCTTGAAATACTCCAGAGCTTTTGTGACCATATCATCCACTTGTTTCAAATTAGGAACCAGCGATTGTGTGTCCACAGTTGGTTTGTAACTAGCAAGTATCTCTGCCTGCAAAAATATTCTTGTGTTACGGGGTTTATTGCACATATTAAAAGTCCAGATTGGTAAGAGTTATTTGGCTGAAATTGCTCGATTTCCTAGAAAGAGAAGCGTTAGGTAACATCTGTTTTAGCCGAACAACTATGTCAAACACTACTTATCCTACCTCTGACGGAGGATGAGTTTGTGGAAGTAGCTAACAGCCTGTGTTAAAAGTGTTTGAAAATTTAGTTGTTGCATAGCTTATATACGGAGTACGTAAAAAGAGAAAATGGTGTTCCTTACATTGAATAAGGATGAATAAACAGCATTATTTTTCCAAACTGGTTATTAGTGGAAACAAAGTAAACACGAGATCTTCTTTCTGAAACACTAAAGGAGATAGCTTTTAAAAAAGAGCTTATGTTAAGCTCTCATTTCATTTACCAAATGAATAGCTTATTGAGAGCTTAAAATGAATCAGAAGCACAAAAATAAGCTCTACAGGCAAGCCAATAAGCTAGCTGATGATAAATCAACCTCATAAGTTGATTTGTAATTCATGTGTGCCTCGCTTAATCCCAATTTGTTGTGCATATTTTCCTTTTTGGTATGTACTTTACTGTGTTTCCAATTTTAAAAAGTAGTGTGTGGTTTGTCAGTATGTGTTACTCGTTCCTCCACATAAAATATCAACCCCGCATTATTTTCACTTTATCAATCCTCACCGTGATTCTTATTAATTTTTTATTGCAAATAAATGTAACGATCAAATGAAGTTTTTTCCTTCATTAAAGTTGTCCCAAAGTTGTTTGCTAGAAGATCAAAGAATCAAGTCGCCCATTTGCTTCCAAGGGCTACTAATTCTGAGTCTGGTGTTGTGAGTGGGCAACTAATTCTGAGTCTGGTGTCATGAATGGGATGCTTTACCCCTTCAGTTTATCCATGATGTGCTAATTGTTGAGCATAATACTTAAGCTTTAGCTCCTTTCCGAAAGGATAAAACATAAAAACTCAAGCCTAGTAAAAGTGAGCACAACAAATTGGGAAAAGAGTATAAGTGTATAACTTATATAGTTGATATGCTCGTTGATCTCATACACTGTTTGGTAAGAGTTAGCTGATAAGCTTAGATATACTACAAAATAACACAACACGCACTCAAAAATATGCTTAGCATGCTTTTAAAATAGATAGAACTGAAAATGAAACTATTCCCGTGAACACTATTGAAAAAACTCAAACTTATCAAATAAGTTGTCTCGGTCAAAGGAAACTCATTTGAGAAGCTTTGTAAATAAAGTTAATAGCTAGCTTATGGAGAGTTGAACATAGCTAGTCTGAGAACAATGCACACCGGTTAACATTTCCACATTCACTCATGCATTTTATTTTGCATGTGTAAGACCACAAATGTGTGTGTGTGTGTGTGTGTGTGAGAGAGAGAGAGAGACTGACCTCCGTAGGAGAATGCACGTGTGATTTGTGTGTCCCATTTAACAACTTGGCACGTTGATCATACGAGTTGGCAAGTATTGAAACCATTCTACGCAATAGATTTCTTCTAAATAGCAAAATAGCTGAAACTCCCTTATTCTTGAAGTATTCCACTATCTCTTCTTGATGCTGTAACAGACCCTGCAATCAACCCAATTGTTTCAGGCAGTGTCCAGCCAAAGAGGAAACTCGCTTAATTTTGGCTGATTTAGATGCTGACAAATGGCATCAAACTCTAACATTCATACTAGCTACAAAAATCCCATTTCCCTTTCTAGAAGAAAAAAATCTCATTACCTGGTTAAGCATCCATTTAAGCCCAACTGCAGCTGTGCATTCATTCTTGGAAGCACTTGTTAGCCAGTCAAGATTATATATCTTATCTAGAGTATCCACGATTGTGGATATGTTGCTTCTCCTGACTTTGACAGAAAATATTTCGCCATTGGAGCTTATATTTGTGTGATTATTCAACAATGTCTCAAACCATCCACTGCCAGACCTCTGTGTTGACAAAATTGCAAAATACCGTACTGGACTGCAAGCGCACTCAGCCCTGTTTACGCATAAGGGTGCAAATCAGTAATTTTGATTAAAAAAATAACAACCAAGAGAGCTCAACTGGAAGAAGTAAATTTCTCTTTATTATTTATGAGATGAAGGTAGAAGTTACATTGACGGGACTATTCATTTCAACCATTTTAACCACACAAGAAAAAACTTATGCAGTTCTTTTTGAATTTATTACTGGCTGATTAATGCAGTCAAATAAATTAGTGTTCGGTAGATAATCTTAACGATAATTGCTTAGACTCATAATAAGGCAAAAAAACAGGAAACCAGAGACACTCAAAATGTACTAATAGAAATGAAGGGATCTTAGTATCTTACCGGCTAAAAGTCTTAGGCTTGGGGAAGTGCACATACGGTCTCTCTGAAGGTTCAATTTTAGGCGGTTCACATGGCTTTTCCACGACAGCAATATTCAGTAAATGTCCATTTCTGCGACTGCCCGTTTGCTTGAGGCAGACCGAACATATATAGACTCCACAAACCATTACAAAAATTAAGACCAGCATTCTCAATAGAAGTGGAGATTTCTTTGAAGGCTTTATGAACAAGCCATCCTGAAAGAAGAAGAAGAAGAAGAAAAAGATTTTTTTTGCTCAATTTCACAAAGAAATCATTGGTGTTGAACAAAGGCACAGAAAAATCAAGTAAAGAAGTAACAGTAATACATCTAAGAACACATATTCAGCTAAATAAGTCAGCAAAAATTTATTCTTCCCGCTCATTTTTCTAATAAGATGATTAACAGATTATGCCCATCAAACTGGCTCTTAACCTCAATGAAAAAACAGAAATAGCTCAGGTATGCATTCAAGCACAGCTCATGAAGATATGGAAAAAAGAGCTTTGAGCTTACACATCCAGTTTTAGGTTACTTACTGTGCTTTAATTCGAAATAGAAATCTACTATGCAAAATTAACCAATTTTAGTAAGAAATTGAGTCAGCGAGCTACAAAACTATGCAAATCAAGCTCGGAAATTCGACAAAATGCATATTACTGGAGATCTACTGTAGAGATTCCAGGTTCAATGTCGAGCAGAAGAAAAGCACTGAGGAATAAGAACTGAACACACCTGAGGATCAGCCAGCGGGCGGCAGAGGGAGGGAACCACCGGGGGGATAAACAGCCAGACAGACATAATCTCGTAGCCCGGACGGCGAGCCACACACTGGCGCCGGAGCAGGGACGGGAACCAGGACGCCTCCCCGGTTGTGTGAATCAGGTTGCGAAGCCGGCAAAGGAATCGCCGGAGATGTGAGCGGAGATGGGGGTAGATGCGGAATTGGGAAATGGTCGACGGGGAGGAATGGGAATCGGCCGGAATTGGGGCAGGGGATTGCGGGGGAGGGGAGGGAGAAATAGTGGGAAAAGGCTCATCATCACAGGAAAGGTCAATGCGATAAGATCTGTGAGATGTAGCGGATGGAGACGAAACATGAGACTCGGATTTTATGAAATTTTGAAAATAAAAAATAATAAATGCTCATATAACTATATGTCATAATTTAGGAAAAGGGAGAACAATTAGGAGCATATATTCTATCACAAAGTTTACATTAAATTTCCTCTACAAATTTTTTATGTTTATAAATTAGTATAAAACTAAAAAATAAAAATCAGTACATACATTTAAAGAACATCAAATGTACTCTGTATGATAAAATGGAAAATGAAATAGTTTTTTCATTGTTTTTTTTGGAGATGAAACATACTTCACGTCATTGAGGATTTCTCATTTTTGTTTTTCAATCGTCTCGAAATAGTTTTTCATTGTTTTTTTAGAAAAAATAAATATGGTCCAAAAATATATATTTCTTTTACATGAACTCTAACCAATCATTTATCATCATACAACATCTCACTTTTTTCCCATGCTTTTTTAGATCTCGTGAAGTCAAGGTGAGAAATTATTTTTTGGGATAAAGTAAATTTATAAAACTTATTGCTTTCGTCTCGTTGGATTTGTCCAATTTTGACTATTTTCATCAAATCGTTTTCAACCTTTGACATGTGATATATATATATATATACACACACACACACACATATATATATAGGGTTAGATTTTAATTTAAAGATGTTCTGATTTGGTCTACTCTAATTTGACCAAATTTTTTTTGTATTTAAAGCTATTTTAGGTTTAATTAGGACTATAATCTGATTATAAATTTTTCAAACGTAGCACCGTAGACCTTGTTGCCATAATATGACACACTTTTTTGTTATCCAAGGAAGGGGACAGATTGATTCTATTTTTTATCAAATTAATAATAAAAATTAGAATTATTTATAAATAAATCTGAATTTTTTTTTGAAAGATTTGGGAATATGATAAATCTAGAGCGAATTTTTAAAATGATCCTCTCCAATAAAAGATTTTCCCAAATCAGTCTTCAATAAATTTTAATTACATACGTGGTCCTCTATAATTGAGATTTATTCCTTAGATAGTCTTTTGTAAATAAAGTTACTCAAATGATGATTAATTAGGAAACATTTTGGTATTTTTTTATCACTTAAATTTAGATTAAGATGTTAAAATTATCATTTCTAATAAAGTGATTTCCCAAAATTGACGTAATTTTTTAATATATAATTTTTATTTTGAGTAAATTCCATAAAAGATTTCTAGTTATATGTCGTTTTACACATTTAATTCCTACATATTAAATATTACTAATTTAGTCCCCAATTATTATACTCCGAATGGTCCTTTGTTAACGTTTTTGTTAAGAACATGGATAAAATCGTATATTCATACTTCTCTCTCTCCTCAATTAAGTTTCCTTCCTCCTCTCGTTCTTTTTTCCAAACTCGTCATTGAGTTTGAAGCTCTAAACCCAAAATTGAAATGATCATTTCTTTCTCAATTATTAGTCTTCTTGGTGAAACATAAAATCAAAACCAATAAGCTTTATGGATGGGTTTTATGGGTTAGTCTCAAGAAATTGCAAAGAAAATAAATATTAAAACTCATCTTTGAAGGTTACTGGTTTCGAATTTGGGTTTCACCAGTTAGACAAATAATTGAGAGAAGAGTGACGATTTCGATTTTGGTTCAAAGCTTCAAACTCAGCGACGGGTTTGGGAAAGGAGTGCGATGAGAGGGAGGAAGCTTAATTAAGGAGAGAAAGTAGTGTGAATTTATAATTTGATCTACGTTCTTAACGGAAATGTTAACAAAGGACCATTCGTAAAAATGAATATAATAATTAGGGACTAAATTAGTAATATTTAATATGTAAGAACTAAATATGTAAAACGACCGATAACTGAAAATCTTTTATGGAATTTACTCCTTTATTTTTTTATTGATATACCAATTTGTAAATACCAGTGGTATAATTCTAATGATACTATTACAACATTTAAGGTAGAATTTATTTTGAGGAGCGATGAGTATTTAACAGCAAAACAAGATAGCAAGATACACACATGTTACAATGGTAGATTGGTCGTGGACTAAAAAAGTTTAACCCCATCGAGATCAACGCCGGAGAATCAAATCCTAGACTTTGATTTCACCGGCCACGTTCAAGAATGGTTCAGAGTTGAAAAAAGATGCCAAATTTTTCACCATAGCCATGGAATTATCAGATGTGGGTGAGAACAGATTGAAGACGTGGTGCTCCCCTTTAGCTTCCACCACCTCCGCCGCCCCGGGCCACCCCCTTTTACCCAGCGCCGCCGCGTAGAGCCGCCCTCTGTGCTTCATCGGATCCTTCTCTGCCACATAAACCAGCACCTTCTTGCACCCCAGATTCGCGAGTTCCGGGTCCATTGTCGGGTTCAACAGCGGGTCATCCGGCCCGGTTGTCGTCGGGTTCGCGAACTTCCAGATGTCCTCGAGAAGTGACCGCACTTCCGTGTTCTCCGCTTCGTCGGCGATCGGATCCTTTCCCCAGAAAAACGGGCAGTTGAGGAAGATCCCGTCGATCACGATCCCGTTCAGCCCTTCCAGCCCGACCCGAATTCCCATCCTGTGCGCTATGGTTGCCCCCGCGCTGTCGCCGCCGAGGAACACCCGATCGAAGTCCGCGTACGACCTGAGCCACTCTTCCCCGCCGGCGCCGGTGGAATGGGACGCGACCCAGTTCAGGGAAAGCCAGGAATCGTCGAAGGCCGCCGGGATCGGGTGCTCCGGGGCAAGTCTGTAGTCGACGGAGACGATGACGGCGTCGGATTCCGCCGAGACTAAGCAAAGATGTTTCTTGTAAGTCGGAGAGAAAGCAGATTCGATGAGGAAGCATCCGCCGTGAAAGTACACTAAAAGCGGGAGCTTTCGGCCCGGAGCGGCGGTCTTGGGCAGGAAAATCCGGGCGGAAACTTTGGGATCCGGGGAAATCACGATGTCTTTGCATCTGACTCCGGTTTCGAGGTCCGGGTCCGGCGGGACGACGTCATTTCCGGCGAGCCTTACAACTCGGCCGTCCTTGTAGACTCTCATCAAGGTGGGAAAGTCGTGGAATAGCAGTAAATCCGATGAATCTGCATCATCTCCCATCATGCTTCTTTTTTTGTGTGTGAGAGAGATGATCATGTGATGTTGATCTTGGAGGACTTTCCAAGTTAAATAATGTTAGAAGCAATGATTTGTTTGGACACAAATGAAATGGAAAATTAGAAGTAATGATTTGTTTGGACACAAGTGAAATGGAAAGAAATAAAATAAGGAGTGAGAAAAGTCTTTGAGATAAAAAGAGTAGTTTATCAAATTTGACTGAAGTTATTGTGGATAAAAAAAGCTAAAAATTAGTAAAAATTAAAAAAATGAAATTTAGATATATAGTAATTACAAGAAAATTTCCATATAATAAGAATTCACATGTCTATATTATTTCTCTAAAAGATTGCCAAAGAGGATCAAGAATTACTTAAAGTTTGACTTTGTAAATAATAAATAAATAACTTAAATTGAAATAGAGAGAATAGCAAACTACATCCAAAATTTTACAAAATAATAAGTAATAAAAATATTTTATTTTATTAAATAATCAATGAAAATACACAAATAAATACGGAGCAAAAGTTATCGAGAGAGAGGAAATAAAATTATAATTAAATAGGGACGGGGTAATTATTATATTAATGAATTTTGTATTCAAATTATGCTTAATTTATGGTCAAATAGGGTCAATCTTTGATGATAAAAAATCAAAATATAAAATTTTTTTTGGGACGAGGGTAGTATATACTCCATCTCTTTTACAATGGATTTCACTTTTGAACAACGTACAAAATTCCATCATTTTTGAAATATTTTTAACTAAAAAGTGGTATACAAATAAAAAAAATATAGACTAACTATTTAAAAGTACAAAAAATTCAAATGAATGATTAAAACATACTCCCTCCGTCCACAAATAAACTTTACATTACGCGTTACGATGTTTGACTGAAATTATTTTCAAATCATTTTATAAGAAAAATGGTGTAGAATTGAAAAATAAAAATTACATATCAAAAAACTATATCAAAAGATTTACAAAACTAGAGGTGACATGACTATATTATTTTATCAAATGGGTGACGAAAATAGGCCAACAAAGTGAATAAAGTTTGACCCTGTGAATAGTGAACGTAACGTTTATTTGTGAACGGAGGGAGTATATACAAATAAAAGTCATGAAGAGGTTGTAATAGTAACAAGAACATCTATTTCGAATGGCCGGAGTACTTCATATTTACAAAATGAAGAAAAAATGGATTGAAAGATTGAAAGGAAAAAGTGGACAAATAAAAAGGGTGAAGAAAAAAATGTCACTTCTATTATAAAATTAGTGAATAGTTCATTCTTCAATGGAAAAAAATTAAAGCAAGAGTAAAACATAAAAAAATATACTCCCTCTGTTTCACAAAACCATTCCTATTTTGACTTTGGGCAAAAATAAGGAAAATGTAATTTTGGTTGACTTTCCAAATTTGCCCCTGATGTGATGGGAAAAAGTAAGATGTGATAGTTTGATTATTAGTGAAAAAGTATAATGTGATAGGTAGAGTATGAAAAAGTAGGGGTAAAAGTGGTTTTTTAATAGAAAAAGTGGAAGTATTTTGTGGAAAGCAAAAAAACGAAAGGGTAAGAGTTTTGTGGAACGGAGGGAGTAGAAAAATATGAATTCTATATTTTTATTCCAAAAATAAAAGTTGAAATGCATATACAATGTTAACCATTTCAATATATAATACAAAAAACATAGTAATATATTCATATACAGTGCAACAATTTTATACTGCAAACTTATAAAAACATGAAATTTATATTTTTTATGTTATTTCTTAACCACACCATCTTGTTTTCTTTGCATGTGTAGGGGAGATAATTTTTCAATTATCATGTGGCCATGTCTTCGATTTGAATTCCCCTTTAATTGATTGTCTCTTCGTTTAGCTAGCATTTCAAATCATGTACATGATAAAAATAAAGGTTCAATTCTTTACAATACTCTATTCTTTTAAATTTATATTGCTTGTGTGGATTTACTATATTAATTAAAAATATTTTCAAATCATTTTATATGACAAATGTTATAAATTTTAAAAATAAAATCTACATATTTAAATATCACATCAAATATCGCCATCAATAATTGAAGTAATATATTTTTGGTATGATTTATTATAGAGAGCGTACAAATATCGACATCAATAATTGAAGTAATGATATGTCATCTAAAATTTGATAATAAGAGCACTGGTAATGGTAATGAAGCCCCAGGGCTTCAAACCGAGGCTTCAAACTTTCTCTCTGCCACGTCAGCTTTAACTTACACCCAAAATTCACTGAAAATGGTTTTGAAGCCCCGGGGCTTCAAAGTGGGGCTTCAAACCTTCATTTTTACATTTTTAAATATACATCTTCTAAAATTAAATTAATAAAATGTAATTAATTTATTATTTAATTAAATTGAAACACGAATAATAAAAAAATACATTAATTAAATAAAAAAAGCGACAATAATTTAAAAAAAAGATACATTAATAAAAAAACCAAGGTAAATTATATTTCTCCTTGATCTCTCTCATTCTTTGCTCATAGATCATTCGTCCAAACTCCGACAACGTCCCGGGATTGGTTTGCATGACTTTCATCTCGGCCTCCTGCTCCTTTAGCTTCAACTCCTTCTCCTTTAGCTTCAACCTCTCTTGTTCTTGGAGATTGAACGCCCGAAGTTGTTCAATCATTGCCCGGCCGATTTCGTCGCGGGGAGAAGCGGAAACAGAGGTGGACCCTCCCGAACCAGAGGCAATGGATTTTGCCTTCTTTCTTCCGATCGGCCGTGGAATAGGGTCCTCGTCACCGGAATCCGCAACGTTGAAGGGAGGGATTTGATCGGTAGAACCGATAATCTCGTCGACCTCAACCTCGACGTCGACGGTGGATCTTTTCCGGAACGATCCGCCGTCGGGATTGTTGAGTTGTTGCCACTTCGGGGAACGACTCAAAATCCTCCAAAGATTGATGGGCACCTTGCCTTGGTTCCTGCCGTCTTGATACCGGGTCGTGGCAAGCCGGAGAACATCGGCGTCGTTCGTGCCGCTCCTCCGGAACCGGGAGCATTCCTCGTAAACTCCCATAAACTTTCGGACTTTTTTGTTGATGTGGCACCATTTGGAAGTGAGTTGGTCCCGGGTTCGGTAGGAGCCGTTCTTCTTCATCGCCGTGAAGAACTTCTCCTCGATACGATCCCACATCGCATCCCTCGTTTGCTCCGTACCTTTAAAAATGTTTTACACAATTTTTTTAGACACCATTAAATATAATATATATAAATAAAAACATAAATATATTAGAAAAAATAAATTTTTTACCAATGATAGGATGCTCGGAGACGTCAACCCAAGCCGACGCCAATATGCACTCCTCCTCCGGCGTCCACTTTTGGATTGACTGTGCCGCCTCGGTCAACGTGCTTTTGGCTTTGTGGCTCCTCCGGCGTGTACTTTTTTTCGATCCGGACGGTTCCGGTTGAGTCTCCGGAACCGAATCTCGGTCGACGTACCCCGATTGTTGCGTCTCGTACATCGGCGGTCGATCGCCCAACTCTTGGTAATACCACATCGCGGCGTCGACGGGCGCGAGATTGTCGGGAAAGAAGCCGGAGCCGGAAGGATTCATGTTGAAAATTGGGAGGGGGTAATTTCAAAATTATGGGAAGAAAATTGAAGAAGAGTGAAGAAGGAAGATGTGAGATATTGGGAGGGGGGTTTGAATTTATAAGAATTTTTTTTTTGAATTGGGGGTGCAACGGCTATATAGCCGTTAAGGGGGGGGAATGGAATGACGCAGCGTCATTCCTTTGACGCAAGCCCGATCACGCCCAGAGGGGGGCGGTGTTTCACGCCCCCAGGGCGTTAAACGCCCGTTCACACCGGCGGGCGTGAAGCCTATTTCCAGTGCTCTAACAATTCTATTATGTATATGAAATTCAAAGTTAAACATGACAAAGTTGTATTTTTATTTAAATCTTATGAAAAAACTTTGGTCGGTGCACATTTTTTTGGTGAAATTAATTTTTTTAATATTAAATTTAGTACGAAGTATTTTTTTATTTTACTTTTTTGCTTACACTCATGGAATAGTAACGCATGCAAGAAGTGTATGGTAGTTTCAATTTTTGTTGCAATTTGTTGATTGGTTAAAACTAAGCGAATTAATGAATAGAGACATAAAGTAAATTTTCAAATTAAAACAGTTTTTTTAATAAGGTATTTTTCTAAATTAGTCTTTAATAAATACTTCCTTCGTCATACGGAGTATAATAATATTTTATTCACCATTCACAAGGTCAAACGTTATTTACTTGTTGGTGTATCTTCATTGTTTATTTGATAAAAAATATAGTCAAGTCATCTATAATTTTGCAGATTTTTTTCATGTACTTTTTAAATATGTAATTTTTATTTTTAATTCCATTCAATTTTTCATATAAATTGATTTGAAAGCCAAACATCATAGTGTGCAACAGGAACATTATTGTTGGACGGAGGGAGTAATAATAATCAACATAGTCCTTTGTAATTGATATTTATTCTTAAATACGGAGTATTATTTTGTCAAAGATGCCTACTAAATGACATTTAATGTTGGTATTTTTGTATTTTCATCATTTAAATAAATCCTCAAAACAGTTCATTCAAATTAAGTGAATGATCGCTATAGAAAAGGAACCACTCTGAGCAAGTTCATGGATTCCATTTTGTGAAAATATTTACTTAGAAATTATCAGTTTAGAAAAATACTTAATTATAAGGAAGCATTTTGAGAATATACTATAAGTCTAGATGATAAAAAATACCAAAATACTTTCTACTTGACTGACATTTAATAGACATTTTCACATACTTTAAAAAATTAAACAATATTATTATATACTCCGACACTCGGTCCTCTGTAATTTTTTTTCAAAATACTAAAACTAAACAATAAAATTATTGTAATAAGCTTTAGTTTAGTACATTTATAAAGGAGAAGGAGAGAATAGATGTATAGAACTAACTACTCATAAGCATCATCACAAGTATGAGGTGAGATGAGAATTTCATGAGTATTGAGAAAAATTTTCACACATAATATAAAACACAATCACGTTACACTTACACCAAGAAATGTATTACAAACTTATACCAAATGATCTGATCTATACTAAGATTTAAATGTCTCACACTGTTACAAAATATTAGTGCATGTATGAAATATCATCTTTCTCCCTCCTTAGGGAAGCATCCCCACCCACAACCCTCGCTCCATCACTCCTTTCTCTCTCCGGCGGCGTGGTCGATCGTGAGGTGGCCGTCGGGAATCCAACATCCATAAACAATAGGCTTATTATTCTAATGGAAAGTTTAATTCGAAATTATATATATATTTTCATGTTTATGAACAAATACTATCTTGTAATTGAGTGCAAAGCATTCAAAAAAAATTCCATTGTTTTACATTAACTTTAATTTCCCGGCCAATAATGGTAGGGTTTGGTTAATTATGTTTTCAACATAAACCTTTCCAATTAATCTAAGGACGATTAGTTAAGATAAAATAGTGTTAGGTTATCAAATGTGTACTTTTTTCATCTCATTATGGGAGTTATAAATATGGTGCTAGACGCATGGCCACTTTGTATATACATGTTCTACACCATCAACTTTAAATTTCATCATTAGTTTCAACATAATGGGAGATATTTCACACTCCTTGGATGTACTCTATAATCTCTTCCCCCTCATTAGGGTTTACAAAGATGGCCACGTGGAAAGATTATGCGGCACCGACATTGTTCCGGCCGGGTTTGACGCCGGAACCGGAGTACAGTCCAAAGACGTCGAAATCTCCCAGGCGCCCAGAGTTTCAGTCAGGCTATACCTGCCTGAAACTGATGGCCGCCGGAAACTTCCCCTTTTGATCTACTTCCACGGCGGTGGCTTTGTGGTCGAGTCGGCCTTCTCGCCGATGTACCAAACGCCTCTTAATTTGCTCGCGTTGGAGGCTAAGATCGTAATCGTGTCGGTCGATTATCGGCTGGCCCCAGAGCACCCTCTCCCCGCGGCGTACGAGGACGCATGGGCGGCCCTCCAGTGGGTCGCCAACAACACGGAGGATGAGTGGTTGAGGGAGCACGCGGACTTTAGCCGCGTGTTCCTCGGGGGCGACAGCGTGGGCGCCAACATAGCGCACAATCTGGCAGTACGAGTCGGGTCTGGCAGAAACGTTGACCCAGTCAAACTCGAGGGGCTATTCTTCAACTGCCCGTGTTTCTGGGGCACGGACATGATCGGGGATGAAGGGGAACACGAGCTGATATGTTCTTTCCTGGAGAACATGTGGCGGGTGGCCCATCCCACTGCAACGGGGATGGACGACCCGAACATAAACCCAGGAAAGGACCCGGAACTTGGGAAAATGGGTTGTAAGAGGGTTATAATATATGTAGCTGAGAAAGACCCAAGTAAGCATAGGGGATGGCTTTACAAAGAGGCATTGGATGGGGTTGGGTGGGGAGGAGAGGTTGAGGTTGTGGAGGTTAAGGGAGAATCTCATATTTTCAGCTTGTTAAATCCAATGTGTGAGAATGCTATGGCTATGCTTAGAAAGTTGGCATCTTTTTTTCACCCACAGAGTAATAGTGCTTAACTTTGGTTTTTTTTATATGTGTAAACCTATGGGACAGATTATGTTATGCATGTTGTGTGTTGGGTTTTGAAAATGAATAATATAATTGAATGATATGTTGTGTTTTGGGTTTTGAAAATGGATAATATAATTGAATAATGATTTATTTTCTTTTATTAATTTGATGTTTTGATGTTAACTTTTTTGTTTTTGCTAGATTTTACTTAGTTTTAGTTCGTTGGTGATGATGTTGTGAATTGTTTAGATAAAAGAAATATTTATACTAATTAGCACAAAAATTTAAGTCATTTTTCCAAATAGCACTTAAATTATTTTATTTTCTAAATATCACTTAATGATGTCCATTGATGGCGAACATTTACTTGAATAGTGACTAATGAATAATAACTAAAAGTGCTACATTGAAAAAAAACATGTGATGCTATTTAAGAAAAGTCATTATATTTTAGTGCTATTTAAGTAAATTCTCCTAGATAAAATTGGTCAGTTGGGATTTATAATTGAAAGTGACTCTTGAAAAATGATTTTTGAAAAAGAAAAGTTATTTTCTTGAAACCATGATTTATGTGTAATCCTTTACCCCTTCCCTGATTAATTTTACAAAAATATCCATGGTATTTTTAGAAAATCAATGTCAATTATATTTTTGCTTCTCTTATTTATTTGATGAAACTAATTCTCCCTCTGATCAAAGTAAAAAGTTATGAAAACACTAAAATAGAAAGTCTAAATTCTTGAAATTCAAAATAGAAATATTAGAGGAATGACAAAGTGAAGGATGTGTAAAGTATCTACTCGTAGAGAGTCTCCAAACTTTTAGGGCCTTAAATCTTCATTATTCTAATTATTTGTTATTTTAAAATTTAATATAAATATATATTCTAACATTCAAATTGTTATAAAAGTGGTTATTAAAAATCAAAGTCAATGCTAATTTTAAAGCGCAAGTACTCTAAAAAAAATAAAATATGGCCAACAAGTAAACTTTGCACGAGGCAAATCTCATTTTTTTTCATATTCTCGGGGTGGCACTCAGCAGTGGGATGTGTAAGATTGGTAGCAGTGTGATGGAAAATAGATGAAAGTGTGACCAGTCAACTGCTAGATAGCGGACCACCGGTTAGCGTTGGCGATGGAGGTGGCACTCTGGTGGCTGGCGAAAACACGAGAAATTACAGCAGTTTCGCAATCACGTCGGTCTGAATTACAGGGAGTAATAAATATTCCGATAAGTCTGTTCATATTTTCAGAGAGAAGATAAAGTTTGGTAACTGATAGACAGTAATAAATCCCACTCCGCTCGCCCGTATATATTTTAGGATAATTAATTTGCGGTTTTCTATAACATTAGTTCATTCATCATTAGCACAATATGGAGTGGCCTTCCTCGGCGAACGCGAAACCGCCGCCGCCGCCGGCGGATGCTCCCGGTCGGAAACCAGATGCCGCCAATGCGCCGCCGTCGGCCGAGGTTCACGAGTTCTTCTCGGCCGCGGAAAAGTGCGTGCAGAAAAGATTCGCAGAAGAGTAAGCACAAAATTACTTTCATGAGTACTCGTTACTCTTTTGGTGTCATATCTTTTTTCTACTACAAATTTTTTATCATTAATATTTTATATGTGTAAAAATTCACTCTTTTTGTGTGGATTTAAACTTATAACTTGAGTTTTTTTTATGATTTTTAATATAATATTTTGACCATCAATTTTGATATTTGCGCGCGCCACACACACATATAATATTGCAAAAGTACTTTTCAAAGAAAAATTATTGATATTATATTTATATACAAATACAATATAATGTTTTTTCTATATTGAAGTCAAAGTTTATAAAATTTGACCAAGAAACATCAAAATACGAAAATTAAATCCGGACAGAATAAGTATATTATTAAAATATCAAGACTACATTTTAAAATATATTTATTGATGTGAGATACTCGTAAGAAATTATCTTAAATAAAAGTAAAATATAGAGAAAGTACTAAAATAAAAACTTTATTTTTTCTCTCCAAAATAATCATTTGCATTATGATAAATGTGATATTGTATATAGATATTTTACAATATTTTTTGATATTATATATTGGTATGATTGATATTGTATTTACATTTTAATTTATATTTTGGGAAAAAAAATTATTTTGGCATATTTTTTATGTTTTATTCATTTTTACTCTTTTTCTTATATGAAATTTATATTGCAATTTAATAGACTTTTGGTAAATAAATAAATGGTGCAGGTACAACTACGATATTGTGAAAGATGCGCCACTGGAAGGGCGTTATATGTGGCTTCGCTCTAATCCTAAATAGTCTTTGATGGTTAAAAAAACAAAAATCTTTGTGGAGTTTTAAATTGTGGCAGCCAAACAAAAACATTAGTAATAATAACACGATCCACATTACTTTTTACGTAGTTTTCTTTTTAATTTCAGAAACTCTGGACTGTTTTAGTTTTGTTTTAGAACAATACGGAGCATTTTGGAATATACCAAAGTTAAACAATGTGCCATGTACATCACATGCAACATCATTTTAGTGTAAACTTGGAAAATTAAACTCCTTTGAATCTTGTCTTAATATGTGTAAATTAGTATCAAATTGTAATTTTAGTTCCCGGAAGGAGAGTAAAATAAACCATAAAGTGATTGAGATAGTGACATATTTTGGGTTGTGGAGGAATCTTACCAATACCCCAACAATTGTACACTAAAGACAAACATAGACATTTATGTTTATATCTAGGGTAAAAATAGTGTACAATTGTTGGGGTATTCTTTGGTTGGATTAAGAAAACATAGCTTCCAAAATTTGGTAATTGAACTTCTGAATGAATGAAACTCCTCCTCATCTGTCATATTATGGGTATGTCAATTAACACCAACACACAAGTCATTGAAGAACTTCTTTACTGATCCATTTAATATTTACAGGATTGTGATTTCCCCCCTTTACATTTCCCATTCATGCAATCCAAGAACCACACATTTTTCACTCTCACATTTCTTCACCCACCTTCATCGATCTCTTATACCTTCTTCGGTCTCTCGTACCGGTCCAAATATCGTCCCTCCACTTCGTTCTTAGCCTGACAGTTGATTCCCGGAAACCCTATAACATGGAAAGAATTAACAAAATGGAGTGCATTAGGAACAATTGCAGTCTTCATTAGACAAACCATATGTGCTTAATGTGTCATTGGATACTTCAAGCGACAATACGTACTCGAGGTTTATGTTCTTGTTGTTCCTTAAACTCTCCGGGATTTCTCCGCTCAACTTGTTGTTCTGGAGAAACCTGTCGAAAATGAAACGATAAATTAGATACGCATTATATATATATATTTCCAAGAAATCTTAACTTTTTGCTCTGCTCCGAGTGATCATTATAGAGATAAACTCACACTTCTCCGAGTTTGGGTAGCTGGCCAAGTGAATCTGGGATGGCTCCTTCAAACTGGTTGTTCTCTAAATGCCTTTTGGGAACACTCAAAGAACCAGTCAAAATGTGCACAATTGAAGAATAAATATATAAATATAACTGTTGCAGAAGAGAGTTAATGGCTTACAGAGATTGAAGTGCCTTCAATGGACTCATATCAGGCAATGCACCCGAGAGCTTGTTATCTCCCAGCCAACTGGATACGACGTAATCAATCTATTAGAGAGTAATTAGCATCTTTCTTGAACCTAATTACAAATACTTAACAAAAACTACTTACATATAAGACAATGCAGTCAATTTCGATATGCTTGGAGATAGCGTTCCACTCAGTCCAAAACCAGTCAAGTTCCTTCCACGATCGAAACAATAAAAGATGATAAATCCCATCTCTTGATAGTTGTTTTCAAACATTTTTTATGCCTAAAATTTATTGTGCAATGTATAAGAAATACTACTCACAAAGAGACTACTCGGAACGATTTCCCCTTGCTACACCCGATACCCGTCCATCCGTTTTCTTTCGGTTGGCAGGGATCCCCATTCCAATCCTCAGGTGCATTCTTCAAGCTCTTCTGCAATTCCTCCAATGCTGCCACTGTTTTGTTCATACATTTTTTTTTTGTGTGGGAAAAATTCAAAACTTCACACAAAGTGCATATTATACAATATCAAATCACTTTTACATACCATCTCTAGTGAGGGTCTTCCCTCCTAGAGGCATGAGTTGAAAAATTTCCCCTGCATTGATCACAGGCCCGACCGGAATCCCTGCATATCAGAACATCTAAAATTTAAGATTTTTCTGGTACATTAAAAAATGAATGAACATAGACATACGTTATGTCTACCTTCGTTTGGGACCAAGGAGATTTGGGTTTGGCCAGAGAGAGGCCAAGCTGCAGAGTAAGCAGTGACACCGTCAGTGGTAACGTTGAGCTTGGCGTAGAATGTCTTTCCGTTCAATTGGACATCGAATGTCCTCCAGCTATACGGGCTCGGGGTGCGATTGTCCTGGAAGTAGAGGGCAATGTGGTAATATGTACTGGGGAGAGGAAACGGCGGCCAGTGGACCGTGAGCGTCTTCCCTCTGCTGGTTGTCAACGCCGTCGTGAATATTTCCTTGGGCGGCGCGTTCCAAAACGCCCCCGGCCCCACTTGGGAGTGGCTCAACACCGATGGATTATGGTCCATGAATGGTTGCCATAACCGGTTATATGGATCCTCCGGGTACCTGAAAACCCAATCCCCGTAAATTAACCTAGCTTGAGATTGAGATTCAAATAACACAATGATTGGGTTCATAAAATACCCGATCAGATCCGAATCCGACCCAAAACAGTGCCGGGCGAGGCTGGCCAAGCCGAATTTCTGGAAATCGGTGGAGTTGTAGAGGGCGTCGTCGAGATACACCACTTCGACGGCGGAGATGAAAGGGCTGCCGGAATCCGCCGTGTGCTCGTTCCGGGCAAGGCAGATGCTCAGCTCCATCCCGTGGGCCGTGACGATTGCCTCGTAATAAGAGCTCAATCCCTGCGCGTAATCCGCCCTCGTGTCCACCACGAACCACCTCGTCCCGTCGATGATCTGGTCGAACACCGGCGGCTCTTTCCCGCCGTCGAACCCGCCGTAGTAATACACCGTCTTGACCGAGAGTTTCTTCCCCTTGACCACGGGCAGCGTGTAGCAGTGCTTCCTCGCCTTGTTCCCCGGGAAATAACGGACGGCGGTCAGGGTGGGAAGAATGTGGGGCAGCCTGACCGCCGATTTGTTGCCGGCGGAGACGAACGGGTCGTCGGGGATGTAGGTGAGAGACCGCTGCTCCACCTCCTCATTTCCGCCGCAGTTTAAGAGGAAACCTGGAGGGGCTTCAATTTGATTATCAGACAGAATTAATTAATTAATTAATTAATTAATTAATTAACAAGAAAGAATGATCAAATCTGCATCCATCCATGAATGAATAATTAATTAGGTGTGGTTTGATTACCTTTAGGGACGTCTGGAGTCCGGGAAAAGGTTAATAAGGGAAGGTTAGCGAGGCAGCAGAAGAAGAAGAAGATGGAGATGGGCGCCATCTTTATTTAGGGGAATTACAGAGGTAATTAAACAGCATGAGGATGATGATTGATTGGAGATGGTGGGGTGATGTGAGAGAGGGAGAGAAAAGTTGGGAATAGAATGAGGTTGTGAATGCATGTCCCTCCACGTGTTGAATTATTACCATTTTTTATTATTTTAAACTATATTTAATTATTGATCAAAAGGTGTCATAATTTAAGTTATTCAAATTATGAAAATCTTTTAAGGATAGAGGGAGTAGAACATTTTGGATCTGGAAAATTCTATTTGCGCCCCACATTTATACTCGAAGGGTTTGTCTTGACAAATGTCAGTGCAACGCTGGCATGATACAAGTATTGTATTTACCTTTCGTGTCACGATAAATTCTTGAAGTACAAAATGAGATACAAATGTGGGGGGTGTGTAGCACAACCCTTTATAAGTACTCGTTGCATAAGACTCCCTCCAATGCATGCCCGTTCACCCTGTCCAGTTGTCCGTAGCCGATGTGGCATGCATCCACCTGAGGTGCGACATGTTAGAGTTGTTCGTCGCCCTCGTCAGTTGCCACGGATGACTCCTTGGGTAAATTTTATTTTTTAACCAAGAGCTCTGATTCAGGCGACCAACGATTACTCCACGGACGGCGATGAAAGCACCCAGTGACGGGTCCATGGAAAAAACATGACTGGGATCAAGGTCATAGTAATGAGGAGAGCAAGGGTTTGGGGGCAGCGCTTCAAAAAACTTTTTTAAAGACTATTTAGAATGAAGAAAAATGAATAAATTTATTTTCAAACAAGCATTCAAAACAATAAGCACGATAAAAATATTATATGATTATATATATATAATGAAACAATTTTATATGATTATATATATACAATCTAGATTAGTTATATTTAAATGTATTCTCGATCTGATCTGGTCTGATTTGATATCAATTGATCTGATTCTAATAAGTAATAAACAATAAGAATAAATTGAAGAGAACATGACCTTAATCTTAAACATGATCTACCAATCTAGTAACCGCACTCGTTCTCCGCATAAGTCCCGTCTTAGGGCATCCCCGGTTCAAATTTTCATTGCCACATCGGCATTTTAGTATTTCCGAATTTTCTTCAGATTTTTAGAAAAGCTACCGCAATCCTCAGACTCGTTTAGACTTTGCCACACTAGTTTTTATTTCTTTTTAATTAATCATCTAATATATAATTGTTTTATACACTATCTTTTACACAATGTTTATTTATAACTGTAATTAAGCATCAATAAAGTCAACAACATAAAGTTATAGAGAAAATTATATAAAATTGTCACACAAAAAATAAAAGAAATGCATTTCATTAAAATCATTTAAGTAAATACACATAAGATATGAATTGCATAAAATAAAATAAAATTTGAAATGCAATAAATTAAATTTAAGGAGTACATAAGTACACATAATTGAAATGTAAAATGGCATGACATTTACTCCTTGTGTTTGTGTGTTCTGTTCCCAAAAAAATTAAAATGCTCCTTATAAAATTTCATAAAAGAATGTGTTTCATTTCTAAAAAAATACAAAATTGCACAAAGTAAAAATTATAAAAAAAAGTATAACAAATTATATATAAGTAGACATAATTGATATTTGAGTTTTTTTTATAGTTGGGGAGTAGTGATTTTTTATTACAAAATAATTAGAACTAATTTTGTTTCAAAAAATAACTATTGTTGATTACACGTGTCTAATTTTTATTGGATGAATGGACTTGGGAGTTTTTAGAGTGAGTTTCAGAATTCAAAGACTCAATTTCAGACTTTTCTTACTTCTTGATTTCTTGTCCACGCCAATGATAAAGTCTATCAATTTTAGACTCTTCTCGGACTATTATTGGAGATGCCCTTAGCTCTTTATTCATCTTCCGCTTCATTTGAAGTTTTGTGCCCATTTGCCTATTATTTTGAATTATTAATTTATTGTAATATTCTGGCCAAAAATAATTTTCAAATATTTATTTTATTTTCGAGAGTAGTTTGTTCATTCGAATTTTTACCGTTCAATAATCTTTGTAAGACCATCTGTTTTTCGAGAGCTTCACCTCAACCAAACCAAGCAATTCTTCACACTTTTGCTCTCTATTCATGATATCGTTCAAACATATCATATCACACATATATTTATCATTTCACATCTTACCTCTTTATACTCTATCAAGTTTTGTTGAGTTTTGTCACAATGGTCGTCAATACCTGACCTAAAAGGAATTGCCTAAAAGTCCGATCTTTTTTTTTTTTGATTTGGCTGGCCGGTACTTCTTAAAAATATTTTCTTTATTTGATTCATAATTTAATTCTCAGATTTTATATGAATACAATGCCGAATTCATCGAATGGATGCTCATCAATAGCAAAATCCATCACATACGTATGGAGTAATATATTTGTAATTAAGGACTAGCTAAGAAGAGCCATAGTCCTCAAGCATTCTTCCATTTCTTCCTCACCCAACTCAAACCCTTCATCTTCTTCATTTGTACTCTTCCCCACCTCCATCTTCCCGGCGGCATTGTTATTCTTTTCTTCATGCAATGACTGCGCCGGCTGTACTTGATGGGAGCTTGTCGTCACATAATCCGTGAGCTCATAGTTGAGCTTGGCCTGTGGGCCCTGGAACTCGATGGCGGCTCGGTCATAAGCTCGAGCCGCCTCCTCCGCTGTCTTGAATGTTCCGAGCCACACTCGACCCAACCTTCGCGGGACCCATATCTCCGCCACCCACTTTCCCCGCAGCCTCTGTCTCACTCCCTTGAAGTTCTTCTTCTTCTTCTTCATCTTCTTCATCTTCATTTTCTTCTTAGGGGAAATGTCACTTGGCTCTCCGAAGAAGTTGCAGCCCAAGCAGCCGGATACTATGCAAACCCCACACGTGTAACCTTCCGGTATGCTCAGCAGCGGCTCCCCTGCCGGAGGACGGGTCTCTGTTTCTCCGGCGCCGGAGAACGCCGGAGGAGATAATAATGAAGACGAGCAAATGTTGTATTTTCCGTTGATGATGACATTCTTCAAGGCGGAGACCATGACGGCGCACTCCTGCTCGAAGGTGAGCTGCGGCGGCGCGGGCTGATTTTGTTCGCCGGAGATTCCCTGATCGAGTCGCCTCGCCATTAGATTCTGCATTGCTGCCGAGACTTGTTGTTTTTGTTTTTGTTTATGTTGTCTGCAAGTAAAATTTGGAGAATCGGACTGGAGAAGTCAAAGATCGGGAGCATATTTAAAGAAGAGGGTGGCTACGTGGCACTATTTGTCTCGATTGGTCAACACTCGCGGGGAGCTGGCGCCTAAAACCGAAAAGTGCGTTTTCGTGTTCCGTTACTCGTTGTATAGATTCCGACTAAATGATACCTAGTACGTACGGACAATCAAATCATTCTACTGTTTACTATTCTTAAAGAGGAATGCTACGGTGGTGTACCCCATTTGTCCCACACCCCCTTCTCTACCACACATTTTTATTTCATTTTTAATTATTTATTTATTTTAAAATTTTTTGCCCATTTATATAGTGGAGGAGGGGGTGATGGACAAATGAGGTACACCAAATGGTGTACCTCTAGCATTTTTCATTCTTAAAATAATACGGAGTACGTATTATGTACCTTTTCATTTAATTTTTTACTATATAAATTTTATTTGAATTTTACTCTTATAATAAAATTAATTAAGTTGAAAATAAAGCCCGTCAAGCCTTATAACATGTAATGAGAAGAACTTAGTGTCACGTCTTAATTATTATGTACTCCCTCCGTCCCAAAATATTTACAGCATTTGCTTTTTCAGTAGTCGCGGGAACTTTTGTTTATTTTTACATTTTCATTAGTTATTTGATAAAATAAAATATTCTTGATACCTCTTATTTCGAAGAACTTTTCATGTAGTTTCTTGATATGTGAATTTTATTTTTTATTTCTATACCAATATGTAAATAAAATGAATTGAAAAAACTTAATATTTTGTCTCGGGAATACAAGTGTGGCAAATATTTAGGAACGGATGGAGCATAACATACTATTAAAGTAACTTTTAAGTATCCAAAGTATATAAATTTATTTTTTGATTTCTTACAAATTTTTATACACAGTAAACTGCAAATCAATTGATTGAACCATCATAATCCGAATTGGGCAAATATTTATGAAAGGGAGGGAGTATTCCTCTCAAACACATTTGGGTAATTGGGTTTACTTGATAACAATTTGAGCTTTCTTCTATAGTATTTTCAAAGTTAATTTACATTAATAAAAAACTATTCAAAATATTAACACTAATTGAAACCTTACGTCATTCTTAGTATTACTCTCTTAAATTACTCCCTCAATTTTATAAAAAGTTTTTATATTACTATTCACACAATCAAATTACATCTTTTTTCATTATATATTTTCACAGGTCTTATTTTATCTCACCATTATCTTGTTCATCGTTACTAAATTGCAGGCAATGGCGAATCTAGGACTTGGGTCGAGATCAAGAAAGGAGTTTGAGGCAGTGGCTCTGGATTTAATTTCTTTTTTTACACAATTGAAACGTGAAATTACAAAGAGAAAATTGATTTCGAATTAATGAAGCATTCAAACAATTAGTAAAAAAACTTGAAAGTACTTCTTATAATTTTACTTTAATCTATCCTTTATTTAAAAAGAGGTGAATTCTTGACCATGGAATTCCCGCCCATGTGTTTTCATTATAAATGGTAGGTGTTCAAGTTAAATGGTTAGTGTGCAAAACTGTTTTAAATGCCTCTTTGACCGTGGGTAACATAAAAGGAAACAAAGATAATTTAGCATATACGGATTACATCATACCATGCAATTTAGCATACCTGACTTCGGCCGTGCGTGCATGGTAACAAAATGGTATTGTGTAATAATAATAATAATAATAATAATAATAATAATAATAATAATAATAATAATAATAATTATTATTATTATTATTATTATTATTATTAATTGTACCGTGTATAATAAAAAAAGTAACATATGAATCTTTAATTTTTATTTTTTTAATAATAGTAAGTTAATAATAAAATTAATACCTTATTTGACTTAATTATAGCGCACGTCAATAAATAGCTTACTTGACTTAATTATGCTACTTTAATTTGCTTCCATTTTAATTTACTTCCATTACTAAAATATATATTTAATATATTTAATATTATGCTTCTATTTTAATTGTATTTCCATTTATATTAATTAATATTAATACTAATGCTATGCCATATAATAATATAATAATATTATGCTTCCATTTTAATTATGTTTCCATTTATAATAAGTATGCAAATGCGAGTGCTTTGAATTTAATTGGTAAGTGTGTAATGATGTGTGTATGGATTATATTAATAGTAATGCTAGGCCATAATTACAGAAAATTACTCACGGGTGACGCGAAATTCTTGAAATAACTTTCACGTCTTCTATTTTCAAGAAGACAGCAGAGGTTTTTACATTTTGTTGTAATGACTGGAAGGGGACATTTAATCCAATATTTCATCTATAAACGTTAATAAATGTATTTTTTTCCTATTCTTTTCTAAATGTTTTAAGGTAATAAATCTTAGGTCGCTCCTTTTTTTATTTCTTTGTTTTTCTTTCATTTTGTTACTATTTTTTAAAGTTTTATTTTAGAATTTCTTCTATAAAATTGTATAAAAAATCAAGATTGTTTGTATTATATTAAAACAAATGAAATAAAAATATTTTAAAAAAAGAAAAAACAAGGTAATGGCAAAATAGGAAAAAATGGTATTAGAAAAATAGAAAAAAATACATTTATTAACACTTACGGATGATGTATTGGATGAAATGTCCCCTCCCAGTCATTACAACAAAATATAAGGACCTCCGTTGTCTTTTTGAAAATAGAGGGACCTGAAAGTTATTTCGACAAAACTCGCGTCACACGCGAGTAATTTTCTGCCATAATTATGAATATGACGTTAATTTGCTTCCAAAAGGTAAAAATGTCAAATTATTTTTTAATAAAAAGTTTCTATTTATTAAGGGGTTGTGATTGTTCTGAAACTTATGAATTGTGAAAATTAAAAATTAGGAAGCACAAAAATAGAATAAGAAACAAAAATTTTCATACTATAAATATGGTCATTCACAATCACTTTTGTAATTAGCCTCTTTGAAGTACGTTTTCAACTATGTCCTTCAAGCAAAACATTGAGATCTTAATTGCCGTAAAAACTATTGATGAGAGGTCGTGATTTTGATGATAAAACTCAGAGCAATAAGAGTTTATCATGTTCCAGTCTATTCTAAGGGCCCCGAATCATTAGATGTAATTTTCCATGCATGATTCAGATGGTAGTTTTTTGTTAATATGAATCTAAAATACGTACACATTTACAACATTTTAATGATGATAATATATACTTTTTCCTTTGAATTATTAAGTTGATCGAATGCATGCATAGATCAGAGATTCAAATATACATTGTTTCAAGGATGATTTGAAAGAAGATATTGTTTGTTTACAAATGATAGTCAAAGTACTACACAATTATTAAACAGCGAAAACTACCAATTACTCTTTCATGCTATAATTCTTTAGCAAGAAGAAGTCAAAAAATTTCAAAAAACAGATTTCTCAATTTTCTTTACAACTTTATGGGATTTGGAGAAATTCAAAAAATGACTCTTGGTGACAGAGTGCTTTTAATTTCTAATCATCATTTAGATTATTACAATTAAATTATTTACACATATTTAAAATGTTTATTTAATACATCTGTTTTATATTTCAGTACTTGCAGACTGGGAAAGTTGTTAGTCGAAACCCACTCGAAACCCATATGGTAAAATAGGCACCAGAGCAAATGATGGAAGTTACATTGGAGGACCACAAGTTTGTGAGAAATTATATTCAAATATTCATGACTTTTTTCCTAAGAATAAATTATATCTAAATTTTATTAGATATAATCATAAAGTATCATTCCGATGTATTAATAATCTTACTTTGTGAATCATTAATGTTTTATTTTTAAATTTTAATGTGTAGGGGAATTCAGTTAAATTGTACATTGTGGGCATATCATATTGATTTGGTGATCGATGATTTCAACGAAGCGGAATCATAATTTCCCATTCTGGTGATGCAAATGGTAAAACTTACGTTATATAATGATATTCGATCTTATTATATTATTTCAATATAAATTTTAAAATATTTGACACAAAATTTAAGTCTAATGGTTAATGTTTTTAATATCTTAGAACGAGTGTCAATTGCAACATTTTATAATTTTAGGGGCAATCTCTGAAACATGTTAGAGTATTATTACGAAAACCAGTATTTAGTCGTAGATAACTTTATGTTGCAGTTTCAAAAGTAACAAATCATAGTGACTTGAAAATTCTGATATGCAACGAAGACAATGTTTCCACAAATTGTATGAATAATGTAATTTATAAAGAAGTCTTTCAAAATTTAGAAAACAAAAAATTTTTGTATCTTAATTAAAATAATAAAATCTCTATATTCTATTAGATATCATTTTTTATCATTCTAAAATGATCTTAATTTAGTAATGTAAATATGACCCGTGCAACGCACGGGTGTGATACTAGTTGTGATAATGTTAAAAAATTGAAAGCAAAAGAGAAGCACTGCTTCTCAAAGAAGAAGGGAAGATAAGTACGGACCTTGACATGCCCGTGGGGCGTGGGCCTGGACGGAACGCGGGCCCATTATCTTTTTGGCTGCCACGTGGGACTAGACGGAGTACATTACTTCATCGATGACGTCAGCCAAGAGCGTGCCCCTTAATTGCGAAAAGAGCTTGCGAAAATCATCCTTTCTGTCATCCTTGAATAGCCAGATATCAAAGTTGGTATGAAAGTGACTCCTTAAAAAAAATATTATGAAAGTGACATTATAAAAAAAACAAAAACAAAATACTCGGTGGTCGGTACTTCGAAGTTTATAGCCAATCAGTCGGCCTGAAATTAGTTTTGCAAAAAAAAAAAAAAAAAGGACTCCAATTATACAAAGTCGTGCCGTCCAAATCCTAAACCAAGTTGTAAGCCCAATTATACAAATCTATATATACAAAAGATTTACTTCGGGCTCCTTCACCAATTAATCGAGGCGAGGGGTGGTTTATCTCTCTTTAAAATTGATTCGTAGATTAGTACTTCCTTCGTCTTATTTTAAATTGCTTGTTTGTCTTTTTTCTCCGTCCCAAAAAAAGTTGCTTGTTACTTGGTTCGTCCCTGAGTGTTTGTCCACTTTTGACTTTTGGAACTGTTCATCAAAGCACTTTGACTCATCAAATTCTCTCAATGTGTAAGTCTAAATATAGTCATGTGTGATCTTGTTTGATTCGTATTAACATATAGATTATTAATATATAATTTTTATAATTTTTTAATATATACAAATTGCAAGATAAAATGGATTAAAGAAATGCATTGGATGGTGTACAAAAATGAAAGTGGACAAACACTCAGGGACGGAGGGAGTATTTGATTTCGTAAACTTTTAAAAATAAAATACCTAAACTACTCCTAAAATAAATCACACTTCTTCACCTTATCTTCTCAATCATCATCACCCTTCCTAAAAAGTAATGTCAATTTCGAAAAAGCAACTATATTTTTTATTTTCTTTAAATATGCTCAAAAGTCAAAACAGACGATTTAAATTGGGACGGAGGGAGTATTTGTTAATATATTTCCATTCAATTGGCGTTGAATTTGTAAATATGATTATTGATTGGTTAATTGATTGTGTTGAGAATTCAGACTGTACTTGAATTGCGGGTTGCCGTTGTTCATCTCCGGGCAGGGCCGGTCCCGAAAAATGAAAAAATAAAATCGGCCCTGTCCAAAATTTATATTTTGTGTCTTATTTTATATTTTTAGAATACTTTTGCTTTAAAATTATTAATAAATTTAAAAATATGGTGCCCTAAATTTTAATGTGTCCTGTGCGGTTGGCCACTTTGCACACCCTCCGGGCCTCCCATGTCTCCGGGCTCGCTGTGAGGTGCAATCTGCCGCCCTCCGCTGATCACTGGTTGTGTCACACCGTTGCTACTCGCCGGAACTCTGCCGCCCGCTGTTTGAAAAACATCTCTCATTGAGTTTTGATAAATTTAACGGGACTCCATCGAGATCCAACTCGAGGTGACTCTCCACCTTTGTACCCTCCCACATGATGTTCCATTCTACCAAAACGTTAAGTCTCTAATGGCTTTGCACATGTCCAAAAAGGCCTCTTTGGGGAGTGCCGCCTACATATATATATATATATATATATATATATATATATATATATATATATATATATATATATATATATATATATATATATATATATATATATATATATATATATATATATAAATATATATATATATATATATATATATATATAGGGATCTAAACATAACCACTTTGTCTGCATATCTGAGATCCTCCACCACGTACAACTAGCTCAATCTAAATTACTTCTTCCGTCATAAAACTATCTTTCTGTTTTTTGTGTTTACGAGGTTTGACCAGCTTTATTTTCAATTCAATTTATTTTAAATTTGATCGTGTGAATAGCAACTGTGAAGATAGTTTTGGATAAAATTAGTTATGGTAATTAAATACCATTTCCCATTTCTGAAGGTTCGTCAAATTAAATCATCCCCCGGAACACGTAAATCTTGTTATGGTCTTGTTTGAAAAAAAAGAGACAAGACGTGGGATGATATAAAACCCGAACATCCCGATTCGTGCCCGCACATACTCATTGCATGGAGACCATTCATTCCCTGGCTCACGCCAAACCCCATCATCACCCCTAAGTAGCGTGGAGCCATTTTCTCCTCATATCGGACGCTGCTGTATGGAAATATGGTGTATTCAGGTCCCGGTGCCAAAACCAATGTATCTGCATCTCCTCCTTGCTTTTCCTCAGCTTTTCATTAAAGATCAACTCCTCCAAATTAGAGACAACACGACAAAAACTCTCAAATGAGAGAGACGAACCACAAATTTGCCTTAACTATTCCCAAAGCTTATTAGAAAGAAAGAATTTTTCAGTTTATTTTGTTTACACTGGTTCTCTATTTTAGAAATAAAGAATTTTTCTAGGACAAATGAAAAAAACAAAAAGCTTTTTCATGGGACCAGGGAGAGTAGTTAATCATGTGCAGGTGTGGTAACTTTGAGTCTTGAATAAAAAATTTAATTTTTTAAAGACTGGGTATCGATGAAATTCAAAATTGTGATACTCAATCAATGTTACTTTGATACAATGTCAAAATTATTAACTCAACTAAAATCTCAAAAATATAATACTTCGTAGTAAGTTCAGAAAAGATTTTATATTTTAACATACACCTCCTCCCCCTTCCACTACAAAATACTTCTTGTCAGTTGTCATTCTTTAAGAGTGTTGGGGCATAACTAAGCTTAGACCATGAATTTAAGATAATACTATCTGGGTTTGATATATGGCATCGATGATGAAACGTGATTATATTTAACATGAATCACTTAAGTATATTAACATAAACTTCACTACATATTGATATGATAAAACTATGTTAGAAGCTCAATTTAACTCTGACGTCTACAAAGAAATTAACTTATTTTATTTTCTCTCTCTTCCCATGCCCAAATACTCCCTCCCTCCTTTAAAGTCCCTTCTATTTTGATTTTTAAAAAAATTAAGAGTGAAATATTTTTGTGTTTATTTCCTAAAAATATCCTTGAAGTAATGGTAATTAAAAGTAACATATGATGGACAAATTGTTACTAAAAGGATATGATGAAATAAGTAAATTATGAATTAATATGGACAAAAAGACTATGATAAAAAAAGAGAAAAAGTTTAAGTGACCAAGGGAGTATATGATATAAAGAAAATGGGCAAAACAAATATATGAAGTAGTTAACTTCCTAATTAAGGACTAGAGTTATGCTTTGGGGACCCAATAAAGACCCATTTTTCATCTACTTTACTTGCAAATATTCATATGTGCTCTCAATGTTTGTAAGAAAGTAAGGTTAAAATTAATGTCAAAATTAAGGTACATTTTGGATTTTAATTAAGGACTATAATGTAACTATCTAAGATTATTCTATTTCTTCCATCATAATCATTCTCAAGCATGCTTCTATTTCATCCTCCCCAAATTCTAACACTTCATCCTCATTTGTATTGTCCACTTCCATTTTCTTCGTCTCAAAATTATCGTTCATCAGATTCAAGACATTTTCTTGATGCGACGGTTGCACTTGCGCTTGACAAGGATGTTGTGGGGTCACGTAATCGCCGAACGAATAATTAAGCTTCGCTCGCGGGTCCCTGAACTCGATGGCGGCTCGGTCATAAGCCCGAGCCGCCTCCTCGGCCGTCTTGAACGTCCCGAGCCACACTCGAGCCGACTTTCGCGGGTCCTGAATCTCCGCCGCAAATTTCCCCCACGGCCTCTGTCTCACTCCCCTGAAACTATTCTTCTTCTTTGCCGCCGCCGCCGCCGGATTCTTCTTCTTCTTGCCGCCCACCTCCGGCGGCGGCGCCCCGAAGAAGTTGCAGCCCAAGCACCCTGAAATTCCGCAAAACTGACACCTGTAACCTTCCGGTAAGCTCAGCAGCGGTTCCCCCGCCGGACAAGTATTGTTTTCTTCAGGTGGAGGGAAGACGGCTGAATTTCCTCCGGTGATGACATTCTTCAAGGCGGAGACCATGACGGCGAACTCCTGCTCGGAGTTGAGCCGCGGTGGCGCGTGATGAAAAGGGTCCCCGGAGATTCTTTCTGCCGGACTAAGTCTTAGATTCTGCATGCTAGATTTGTTCCTTTTCCTTCTTTCAATTCTTTTTTTCTATTGTGTGGAAATTATATTTGGACGGAAAATACGGAGAGGTCAAAGGTGGTCCGTATATTTAAAAGGGAGGAGAGATGCCTACGTGGAATGCCACCTCACTGGTCAACAGTCAACACTCGAGAGACACGGGGTGAGCTGGCATCTAATAGAGGTTCCGTTTTGTCACACGTGGGGATTTCAGTTATTCTTGATTTTTGTCGTCTCGGTCAGGTGACCTATGGGTCAAACGTACGAAAAGTGGGCCAATTATCCTTAAGGAAAGTTCATGGGCCTAGTCAAAGTCCAATAGCGTTCACACGGATCCGTCTGCTTTCCTCGAAGGCGCTTTCTGGACGGTTATGAATGTGACATAAGCAGGACTGCTACGACGACGTTTTTTACAACATTTTCTTTCCAAAAAGCCCCAAGGAGGTAAATGTTGGGTATATTATGCTAAAGCCTAAAAGAGTAAAAGCAACATGAGAAGGAACACAAATTGTTTGTTAAAACTTTTAAAATATTTAATTTGTTTCTTTAAAAAAATTTGATTCATATTAAACTATGTTTTCCAAAAACTTTGTATAGAAATAGCTTGATATTAGCTATTGGGAAAAAAAATAAAGGCATTGTTTATGTATTGAAGATGGAAAGTTTGTAAATATTTATACTTTTGTCTTTCTAAATATATTCATTTAAGGAACAAATCAAATATGGATATACTCATACACAAAAAATTATAGTTAGATACCTTCATTTTTGTGATAAGAACTGTGGGATACTCCCAATTTTAAAAATATACAGCCGGATACCCGTATTATTCTAAAACTTACCAACATGAGATTTTTTATCCTTCGATCAATTATTCTGTTAGTTTCTTCTTCTTCACCATAATCACATTGAGATCATCATCATCATCATTCAATTCTCCTTCTACTCCTTCGGATCCTGACCTCCCCACCTCATCCCTTTCGTTTTATTCTATTATTATTATTACTACTACTACTCATATTAATCTTGTTATTATATTATTATTATTATTATTATTATTATTATTATTATTATTATTAATTAGTAGTTTTACTAGTGTACATTTTTAAACAAATGCTAAGGCCCCTACCAAGAAAATTGTATGCCCCCATTAACCTATCCTAATCTACTTGAGTAAAACAATACTAAAATCTTTTAAATCCTTAATTGAATATTAGTTTTGGTGATATATTTATTTAAAATTTATAAATTAAAAAAACATGATACAAAGATGTTTTATATCCTCAAATGACTAATGAAAAATACATAGAAATATGTCATCAACTTACTCATAAATTAAAATTCACTTATAAACAGTAGGATCAACTTATAAGCAGTAAGAAGCATCGACACTGATGATGATAATTATGTACATGATGATGTCAATGAAGAAAAAGAAGAAGAAAAGTAGCGGGATAAGTGACGGATGGATAAAATATCTCTTATTAGTAAGTTTTTGAATAATTTGAGATACTTGAGAATATATTTTTAAAATTGAGGGTACCTAACAGTTATTATGACAAAACTGGGGTTATCTAGCAACAATTTTATGTACCCATACACGTAAACATAACGAATAACAAACATGCAGTACAATTCGTGTTCAGATTCACTTTTTTGGAATACAAATCAACACAAAAAATTACACATCGAATCAAAATTATTCAATTCATTGCAATTCTGTTTAGGTCTCCAGAAGTAAGAACCTTGATTAGAACCCTTTCATGTCAATTTCAATAGCTGGTGGAACCTAAGGTTCCGAGTCCGGTTCCAAACCAAAACCTTGACGACCTCTAACAAGATAGATATATACCGAGCCTAGTCCCATGACCGTATATGAAAGATGAAACTATATATACGAAACTTATAGCAAGTTTAAAGTTTGGTTCAGGCTTAATTCCTGAACTACACAAAAAGGCTTCATGATTCTAATTTCTAAGTAGAGAAAAAAGAATGAACTAAAATGTAAATAATGACACTGAATTGAACAAGAAATTGTATATGCATAAGATGAAACTTAAAATCGAGATTTCATAAACTATTTCACATCTCAGTTATACATGGAGGGCCCAACAAAGCTCTCATACTGCTAAAGAGAAGAAGCAGGAGCTACTGGATTTTCAGATGGGACCATCTAGCTAGAAGATAAGTATGGGATGGAATGATGAGAAATAAGGATTTTCAGGGACTTAGTATTTTCATCTTTACTTGATGATCAAGGGCATACATGTCTATGTTAATCTTTTCTTCATTACCTTCATCAACAAAGTTTTGCCCTGAACCTTCTTCAGACCCCAGCACTTGAATATCTAAACCGGGGAAAAAATAAAAACATTAGAGGAATGCAAAACAAAAAAACAGTAGAATCCCACGAACGTGGGATCTGTGTGCGGAGACCTTACCCCTACTTGAAAGTAGAGAGATTGTTTCCAAGAGACCTTAACTCAAGTACCACAAAACCACATAGCCAAGATAAAAAAAAGCGGAAAGCAAAACTTAAGGTAAAAAAGGTGCAACTTGCAAGTAGAAAAAAGCACACAAACAACTGCAAGCAATAAGACCACAATCTTTTAAAACACATGACGTCAAAACTCAAAAGGCAAAAAGTATGACCTAGATTCAAACGACTATCCTACTACCCTAGTCCTACATCTTCAAAGCAAATACTCTGTTAACTTATAGCCTGTTTCAGTTTTGGTTTGTTTCAACCCATGAACCTTATACCTGAAACATTGTGAAAATATTAAGCCACTTTGTTCAACCTCTTTTAATTAAACCAAATTTTGTCTTATAACTATCTAATATGTTCATCAAATTTGGAAATCCTTTGCATCCGACATAAAAATATTATTTTTGTTACAATGGAAAAGATGTTTATACTCCCTCCGTCCGGGAAAGAACTTCCCAAGTAGACACTTTGCGGTCTTTAAGAGAGTTTAAAAAGGTGGAAATTTACCAAATTACCCTTGATGAAAGTGGGTCGAGTATTGGGTGAGATGTACTCCATACTAAATAAAGAAAGTGAGGTAGTTGTTGTATTTAAAATGTAAAAAAGGTAATGGGAAGATCTTTTTCGGACCAAAAAAAGGCATTTGGGAAGATCTTTTCAGGGGGTATCATATAGCTAATATGTCATACATATGTTTCTTAAACAAGTGAAGTACAGGGTACACAGTTGAGTTGACCTTCCCACTGAAATATAAAAGAATGTAAAGTACTCACCAGAATGGCTGAAAAGAGAAATCTGTTTGTCTTTGCAGGAACCATGAGAAATGGATGCAGTACCATGATTTGCCAATTCCCTTTCTATATTGATCTCGTGCCAACTGGGATCTTGTGCAACAGAAATCTGGAAATATTTGGGCGGGGGGGGGGGGGGGNGCCGTGAAATAATCACTTCTATAGTAATAAAGAGAGGCATTTTGCCTTCAAAAAAAAAAAGATAGGCATTTTGATTTCTAAATTTGAAACGTGCTTACCTTTTATTTACTGCTGAGCATACACTTAATGTCATCATAATGCCAAAATGTAAACAAAAATCTAACCAGTTTTCTGAATAATTCTCCATTGTATCAATTGAAAACAAAAACAGAAACTTCAATGAATTAAGGGTCCCACCTGGTTGTAAGCTCTAGACTTGTTCGTACACAGTTTCTGGGACATATTTGTCTTTGCTTTAGCATGATCTTGGAACCTGGGCTCGGCGGTCATTGGCTTGTGCATCTGTTTAACAAATGATGCTTCTAACAGACTTAGAAATATATCATGTTTCTCATCCGTCCACCTGCCACACTCATCCTGAAGTGGCATCAAAATGTCACAAAGATTAAGTACACTTCTGAAAAAGGATTTAATGAATGCTAAATAAATGTTAAAATCTGAACAGTTTAAAAAGGTAACTATTGTTTTCTTCATTATGAAGGAAGGAGATATAGTAAAAAAAAAAAGAACTCATATAATGATTTTGTCAATTTATTTAACAAATCACTCAAACTCTACAACCTACATAATGGGAAGGAAGATTCTTGTTAACCTGCATCTATTTTCAAAGACACCATAAGTGGCACATGAAGATTAGACACAATGTCTCAAAGAAAAGAACAGTCAATGAGCTGCATGCATACATCCATTCTCTCCTTCCATATACAAATACTCATATAATTTAGTCACAAAGACAATATTATTGCATCCATGCTTCATACATCTATGATTGTCATGAAAATGGAACATTCTCAATAAGACAAATGCTAACAATGAGTAAGCAACAATGTGTTTGTTGATGAAGACTAAACATGTCTAACAGCTCTAATGCTTATATAGAAGGTGAAATCTAACAAGGAAACCAGTAATGAATGATTGGCCACCATTCTAAATGCATAATTTTGCATATAATAGCTGCCAAATAACATACAATAATGAAAAGACCACATCTGGGGTCATCTACTTCTTCTCTCGCCACTCTATTTAAATGTGCAACACATATTCGAGTATTTGACCAAAAATCAGAGAGATACGGAGTAAATAGTTTACTATGTACGTAGTATTACAGTTTTTGAATATATGCATAATTGGAGTCATAGGCAACCTTTAGAAATGTGCTTAGCATATTTGACTAGAAATAGAATTGCAGTGTTAACTGGTAGCTAATGGAAAATCTAATCCTGAAAGATTGACACATGGCTTGGATGACATGCCATAACCCAACATAAATATAAAGCATGCAAAGCAGGGAGAATGTTGAATTGTATTCAAAACTGCAGCGGAGATAATACGGACAGGTGCTATAAATATAACTCACAATCTACACTTTAAGCAAACCATTTGGCAAGATGCTCTACAAGGAAACCTGGAGACATTGCACCCCAAGACAAGAATATATACCATCTCTACCCAATAGGGTAAAAATCATTTTGCACCCTCAAAGGGTGCATAACAGTTAAAATACACCCTCAGAGTTGTGAAATCCTTTCATGGCAAAATAAACATGAAATCATTTCCCTCCCATAGACCCTATGATAAAAAAAATGAACTTGAGAGACCATGTAAAAAAAATACTCCGTAATAACTTAGTCTGATTGCAAGAATGTCACCCAATCTACACAGATTGTTAATGCTTCTATAGATGTACGATTTGCAGACTTGATTTCTAGGATCTATATATGTGACTAAAGTTAGATTCAATCAACACATTTAGAAATTCTTTTAAGGACATACCTAAGCAATTGAACACAATTACTCATTGAACCCAATAAGAGAAAAGCATTTACCGGTCCTCCATTGACACTCAGGTGCAAGATTTCTTCTGGGTTGCCGCTGGCGGCGAGGGAAGACCCGGAGCGAGCCGACTCGTTACTGAAACTAAACGGAGATACCGGGTTTCCCGAAGGCTGCAATGGCGCCGTCCGGCCGATTCCGTCCATCGGCGGTCTGGACCGGTGGAGTTTAGAGGAAGAAAATAAACGAATCTCGGGAAATGGAGTAACAGGGATGAAAATCCGATCGAGATTTGGGGAATTTGAGTGGATTTTTCCTTTTTTCTGCAGGTTCGAAGGAAGGGGATGAGGGGTAATTGGGGAAAGTCGGCGAAAACTTTCCACCTGGCTATGGCTTTTACTCGTGACAAAAGTAAGCGGGAAAATATCTTCGCTTCACTGTTCGCAGATATTTTTATTTCGGGGAGATATGGTTTGCTTTCTGGTTGAGCACTGTAGCAACGTGGCGCCACGCTCCCCGATCTTTTTTCACAATATATATTCCGTACCAAGTTCAATCGGTTCCAACTCCCAATTTTAAAGATCAGCCCATCCCCGAGGATCCCACCATGCGAGAGGTAGTAGATTTTTTTTGCAAATTTATGACAAGTACTAGTGTAGCCTACACATGGTATTGTAGAGATCATATATTTGTATAGCTGTCTTTCAATGCAGTTGTCAAAAATAGAACTTGTGTATGATGCTCTTTTAGTACTCTTTGTCTTTCTTTACCAACTGTGCAACGTTCACCGACAAATCGGATCCCATTTTAGAATCGACAGTTCACTATATAGACATGTTCATTTCTGTTGCGTTTCTACTAAATGCTCGCGAGGTGGTTTCAACTTGTTCTGAACTACGATGTAAAAAAATCTCAACCTACAAGGTATCTCGCACAGGTCAAAAAAAGTATATACTTCATCCGCCCATCGTATTATTATTTTTTCCATGATTGTTTTGGTTGTCCAATGTCTTTCTTTACTCTTACTTAAATGGATAGGCTATTCATTTTTTAACAACTAAAATACTTTTTTCCTTACTCTTGTACTATCTATCTTAGATATACTCATACATATAAAATGCAAGTGGAAATGATTAATTCACTTTTTATTTTGAATAGAAATTAGTGAGAGATTAGGCTACATTCTTTCAGTTGATGTGGTCTGAACTAAACTTTTTAAGGCTAAACTAATTTGATCTGAATGAATATGATCCAATTTGCTCCGAATTGCTCTTATCTGATCTGATGGAATTAATTCAAATTCAAATTAGTATTATTATCATTAAATTAATCATAATTTATTATTAATTATTATTAATTATTATTAATATAATACAATAATAATTTTTATAATTATTATTAATAATCATTATTTTACTTATTATTATTATTATCATCATTATTAGTTTAATAATTATATTTATTAATGTTATTATAATTAATTATTATTATTTTCACTAATATTTAGTGTTATGATTATTGATGATGATTATCTTTATTAATCAAAATTTATGATAATAATATATTACTAGTTATTTTTAGTAATTGTTATTAATAGTATTACAATAATAATTTTTATTATTAAGAATTATAATGATTATTTTCAATTATTCTTACTCTACTTTTTTATAGTTCAATTTATTATTATTGTTATTGTTATTGTTATTATTTTTGTTATTATCATCATCATCATTATTTTTATTATTAAGTGTTGTGATTAATGATGCTGATTATCATTATTAATGATAATTTATTATTATAAAAATAACAATAATTATAAATATTTTAGTAATTATATTTAATAATATTTCTTATTTTTTCAATTTTTATTAATAATTTTAAAATTTCAATTTTAATTTTTGTAATTATTTAATTATTACTTTGTATTATTTAAATTATTATATTTATTATTATTATAAATTGTAATATTATTATTAATATTAAGTGTTATGATTAATGATGAAAATTATCAATTATTATTATTATTATACTTACAAATAAATATTATTATGAATTGTTATTATCATTTTATTAATTATTATTTCTTAAAAAATATCATCATTATTATTGTTTTGTATTTAATCATTATCATTTTAATTAGTATTGTTATTATTAATTACTATCAATAAATATTAACATTATTATTATTAATGATAACAATTATTATTATTGTTATTATATTAATTATTAGTATTATTTTAATATTTTTTATTTTTTAAATTGTTTTCTAATCTTAATGGATCTCATCTGAATGATTTTGATATGATCACAACTGATCTGAATTTGATATGAATAAGCAATAAGTAGGCGAAATAAGCTGAAGAGAACAACACCTTACTATAGAGTAAATTATATAAATGGTTCGTAAATATATGAATTTTTTCCATTTTTAGTCCTCAATTCTTATATATTATATAAATGATCTTAAGTTATAGGACTATTTGTGAAATTTTTTTTTGTCATATTTGGCCTAAAGAATTATTTATGAAATAGTTTTAAAAAAATCGAGAACCATTTATATAATATTTTAGAATTGAGACTAAATATGGAAAATCACATGTAATTAGGAACTATTTATGAAATTGCTCTTAACTCTATATAAGTAGCACTTAGAATAAAGGTAATTCTTAACTTGTTAATATTAGGTTTCTCTAATGTTCTGCACGTGGATAGTGTTAACTAGCTAATGTTGTTGTCTTGTAGTGAACGACAACCATGACAATGAAAAGAAAAGGTCTAATTGTTAAATTTTGTTTAGTTTTGAATGTGTTGATTCATAGAATAAAAATCAAAATTAAAATATAATACAATTTGATCCTTCTGGGGGCAGGGGGCATCCTGACAAATGATGAATTATAGAACTAGCGTCTTCAACTCAAGTGTATTCATAACGGGCACACTTTAAAAGAAGTAGTGTGATGATGACATTCCTATACCACTGAATTATTTTTTCTTTCAATAATTTTAGTGTCAGTCCTTTGTGTCGGAAGTCAAAACTATAGGTTGTTGATGATGGAAAGATATTTGCCTTCCAAAAGGAAGTATGAGTTTCCTTTGCCTAGAATCTCTCTTTTTTATCAAGTTTTGTTTGTTCAAATGTATAAATAGATTTAGACATAATGAGATTAGGGTTGAAACAAATAGGAGGGCCAAAGGTCAAATTGGTCATGATTTTTTTTAAAAATGATACTCCCTCCGTTCCCCATAGATCTTCCCAATAGCCCTTTTTCTATGTCCACAATAGATCTTCTCATTTCATTTTTTAACAATTAAAATACCACAACTACCTCCACTTACTTTATTTATTACACCTCACCCACCTCATTTAATACACTCCACTCATTTTTCATTAAGGGTATTATGATAAACTTTTACCTTTTTTCAACTATAATGGACCATCTAAAAAGAAACATTACTAAAAAATATCGAGACGAGAAGAGTAGTAAGAGTACATTGCAAGATTATTGCCAAATCTTTTTCATGACTTGTTTTTATTTTTCATTTTTGTTGGGCTTGAGTCACTATGAATCCATAACAACCTCTTTATTTCATAACTATTTGTAAAGTTTGAATTTTGCAAAACCAATTACATGTCACAATGAAGTTTTTATCATTTTTAGAAGTTTAATTACTCCTATTTAATTTGAAATTGAGGGAGTATGCTGAATTTGCACAAACAAACATTAAAAAAATAATGGATTGAGAAGTACAATGAACATTATATGTACACTTGATTTCTGAACATTTAACGAAAAACAAAAAAACAAGAAGAAAATCTGCTAAATTTTGTAAAATACGGAGTATAATCTCAGCAAAAGAACATTGTTTTGGTCAATGAATCGGAGCTGACTGCCGCACGGAGCACGCCACCACCTGCGCCCACTGTTTCAATCTGCTCTTCACCGTCGCCGGATCTTCACCTTCACGAACCCAAATAAAATTAAATTAATTTTGAAATTCGCAATAAAAACAAACAATTACCCCTGAAACTGCGCAAAATCGATTGTTTCAGTTACCTAAATCAATGACCGGACTCGGTGACGGACTCCCGGAGAACGCCGCAGTATCGGAATCCGAGGCGAGGGTGGACGTCGACGAAGATCTCGACAAGCACCTGTTCACGGCGCAGAAGAGATCCAGCGCGGGGAAGGTCTTCGCGAGATTCGGATCCAGATCGGTGGAATCCGGGTCGAAGACGAAGCCCAGATCGATGCAGCCGCGGAGCTCGTCTAGGTCGTCGTTGGTGACGCTCTTGGTTCGGCCGCGCCGCCGATTGTTCCCCTTCCGTCTGGCCCACGTCTCCTCCCGGTACATGTCGGGGGACCACGATTTGTGCTTGAGTAGAGTGGGCGGAGCACGGCGTTCCGACATCGCTGCGCCGCCGTTTCGGTTGGTGGAGGCGAGGGAGGTTAAGCGTGAAAGAGGAGAATATATATATATATAGGGTGGGGCTGTGGTGGATTTCCGTAGGGCATACAGGTATGAGTGGGACTGGAATATTCGAATGACGTGGATTTCAGTTGGAATTATATTGTGGGCTCGTGGGCCCATGCTCCCGATCTTCCGCTGCTTTTTTCCGCGATCCAGGGTAATCGATATTGGAAATATAAATTTCTCGAAGAAGTATTCAAAATATAAGAAAAAAACAATATTAATACCCTAGTGCCTTCACAAACATTACAGACATGAAATAATGTTCCGTGTCTCTAATATCAGTGAAAATATTTCGGGTCAAAGGTAGAGTTAAAATAGCATGACTCAAAATATAATTTCTAAAGTAGACGATTTATCTAAGTCCTAAAGTAGACGACTTACTACCTCCTTCCCAGAGTATTTGTCCACTTTCATTTTTACACATCATCCAATACACTTCTTTAATCCATTTTATCTTTTAATTTGTATATTAAAAAATTATAGAAATTATATATTAATAATCTATATGTTAAGACAAATCAAACAAGATCACACATGACTATATTTAGGTTTACACATTGAGCGAATTTGATGAGTCAAAGTGTTTAGATGAACAGTTCCAAAAGTCAAAACTGGACGAATACTCCGGAATGGAGGGAGTATCTTTTAACCCAAAGACCAATAAACATTCCCCCAAGAATATGCATATTCTACCAATAAGTCTTCTCCCTCCCACACCGTATTATTTAATTCTATCATTCTTGTATAAGTTTGCCAGCTGAACAAATAAATTGCTTAATTCATTTAATTGTAAATCTAAATTTGAAGTTCTTTGTTGTTCCCTTGTTATTATTCAAACAATAAAGTATCGTATTTTTCAAATAGAACGAGGGAACAACAAAGAACTACAAATTTTCCAATTAAACAATTGAGAAAAAATCTTTTTTTT